CCTAAACTGAAAACTTTAGTTTCAGTTTAAAAAAAATTTCTCTAGTACTCCTTTTGTATGTATGTTTCAACATTTCAGTTTTTATTTGGACTATCCTGGTTCACAGTTTTCATAGTTATTGTGTAAAATTCATTTACTTGTTTCATACTTTTACATTTATATTATACTAGCAGATGAACCCAGTGTTGCACAGACAAAAAATAACAGCAGCAAATGTTAAGATTATTAGATTATTTCATACTTCTAACCCTTCTATTATATTATATTATAGTATTTGATTTATATTTACAAAGGTTATCTTATATAAGTTTATCATTCCAAGTGCCCAATGTAATACATTTTAAAAATTCTTTATTCCTCTACTGTACACAATTTAAAGAATTTTTAAAATGTGTTAGACTGGTTACTCAACGTGATAAACCCTTATGTAAAATAACCTTCACAAACAGTTGTTATATTATAGTATTTGATTAATATAACATTAAAACAAAAATTGTATAAGAAATTTGGTTATTTCAGCCTGGATAGGTTGTGATGGCCCCACACATGATTGAAGTTGCTAACCTTAACTTCCAAAAGACTTTGTATGACATGTTTATAATATCTTGTAAAAATGACAGACTAATGCTTTTATGTGATGATAAAGTGTTTAAATTTTTGGCAACAAATTTAAAAACTACATAGGAAGTATGTTCTTGTAAATATTGCATTTATAGAAAAATTATTGGGCTGCAATTTGAAAAAAATTGTAGACCTATAAATTCCCACTGTCATCTTGTGTGTGTCTGTTCTGTCTGATGATGATCCAATTTTACATTGTTAATCATGTGAGTTATTTTAGCACATGCATTGTTCATTCTTTGTTTCATATCTTGAATTGCAGTTGGTGTTAAAACAAAACTTGACCCTTTATGAAATTCCATAAAATTTGAATTCTTATTAAACTATTACCTTTCAAAATGTATTTTGAAAGGTAATAGGAATTTTGAAATTATAATTTTTTTGAAAAAATTTTCCCAATAAAAGTTTATATCTTTAGATTCTCTATTTGAAAAAATCCAGCAGAGCTGCAAAACTTTCTTGGAAAAAATATTAAAATTTTGTATGGAATCATCTATTATGATATTTTATTTAAAAAAATTTTTATACTATTATTATAAAATGGCAAATCTTATTTTTGAGGATAGAAACAAATTTTATAAAAACTGTAAATGTTAAAAATGAGTAAAATCTTCATTAAATCCAACCCCGCTTGAGATATGACACATCTCAAGTGGAGTTGGATTCATCTCTTCAGCATGACCTTTAACTACCAAAATTTAATAGCATCAATACCCCTAATATACAGATCTCACTCTGAAATTTCAGAAATTTTTGACAAAAAGCACATTAAGCTTCAAAGTGGATAAACAAAATCATATCACCACTCACCCACTCTAACATCATACAGAAATAAACCTCCAAATTTTTTTGTATTTTTTAACATATCCTGAGTCCAAAAATGCAAAAAAAAAACTTGGAGTCATTCTTTGACCTTTGCTATACTTTCCCTCTTATTATATCTTGACTGTCATATATAACAAAGAATTGGGGTGTTCCATTTGAAATTTCAAAAGTTGCCCCAGTCCCAGGAGAAGGATGTATGAGTCTTTATTTTTATGGTATTTATATTTCCAAAGAGTAATTTTTATACTTTTAATTCTTATCAACTTTTTTACTAGAAACACATTTTCTAAATTATTGACTTGTAATACCTTATATAGAGGGTGTAATTACTCACATATGTTACCAGCAAAGTGTGAATTTCAGGCTTATGGAACATTTATAAAAATAGTATTTATAAATTGATTACAGGATGGGAGAATGTGTATGTGTACTGTTCATCTTATACTTTGCCAGCATATTATCCAGCATTCTAAAGAATGTCTAGGTAAAGTGTATAATTGTATTTATTTCAAACTTTGCTAACTGATTTTACGTATTCTATATGATGGCTAAATTTCATACTTTACAAGTAAAATATGTATTCCATAACATACTCTCAAAACCAGAGCACTGATAACTGGAAATCTGAGCTGCTAGATAAAATTGGATCAATATATATATATATTGATAATTTAACAGTTATAATTGTGATGATGTTGTCGAAACCGTGTTGTATTTGCTTATTGTGCTAACTAAATAAAAGATTCAACTAGCCCAGTGTTGAGAAAAACGTCACTTCATTGTGCCAGTACACAACAGTTATAATTGTGTATGTGTGTGTGTGTATATATATATATATTGATCCATATGTATATGTATATATATATACACATACACAATTATAACTGTTAAATTTTAATCAAAATTAATATGTCATAAATATATTAAAAATTAGTTTAAAATTATGAATTATTATATAAATGTTATATAAAATTATAAATGAGAAAAAATATAATAAAGTATTTTGAAAATTAAAGTAGAAATATTCAAAAATCAAGCCTTTTTAAATATGTTTCTCCTTAGCTATTCCTTAGATCATATTTTAATTTCTTTTTGGGCATAAATATCTTACTGTTGATTCCCATACAAACTGTTCTGTAGAGAGCTTTAATGCTTTCTGATTTTGATCTTAATATTTTAAAATCATATTAATTAAAAATGTATATAATACAATTAAATATATATTACATTACATAATCAATATACTTGTATATGTGTACTCTTTTACCAATATATGTGTACTCTTTTAATATATTAATACACTCTTAGAGTACACATGCATACATCTTATATTCTTAAACTGCATATATTAATGAGACAAAATCAATAATTACAACAACAAAATTATTAAGAATTTATTATTTTATTTTTAAAATTTTTGTAAAAATATTAACAGTAATTTATCTTTGTAAAATTGTCTTTACATAAAATGAACAATTTCAACATTATACAGAACAATTACAGCATTTGTTAGAATGTCATCATAAAAATCTAAAAATTAAAAATAACGATAAATTTTTCTTTCTAATTACAATATATCAATATATTTTTCTATTCATGAAGAAGACTATTTCTTTTAAAAAACTGAATTATTTTGTTTATAATATAATTTTCAATTGAAAAAATACTGATGCTAGTTTAATTTGGCCATTTATAAATTCTTTCATTTCAAAAGCATTTTGTTACTCTATAGCAGGGGTGGTGAACCTGTGGTATGTAAGGTGAACCTGTGGTATGTATTCATCTGGCACATAATGTATCATACGATTTCTGTCTTTTTCAATCATCTTTTCAGTTTATCACCTGATCATCCTTTTTTCAATCAGCTTTTTTACATTTATTCTAATTAAAGCATATTCGTTTAATTTCTTTAAATATCATTATTTGAAGTCTGAAACTTTGACATGCATAAACATCTTTAAAGCTAAGTATGCTTACAATATGGCACGTGAACACAAAAAGGTTCGCCATCCCTGCTCTATAGTAATCAGGTTCAAGATATAATAGTTTATAATATACAACCAAGTTTGAAGCTTTTTTGTATAAATTATAGATATTTTAATGATAATTTAGTCTATTGAGATATGATTGCTTCAGTTGTATGATTTTAATATAAGCTCATATAATACTAAAAAATTTATACGAATCTGAAAGACAGATCTAAATTACTCATATTTTCTTCTGCAAAATGATTAACATTTTCATTCTATTTACAATTCTAATTATCATTGTGAGAACTCTTCATTATTACAAAAACAAAATTCCTATCTATATTCATTAATACATAATTTATCATATTAAATTCTACTTCAGAATTATATTTTCTTTCTCTAATTATTTAAATATAAAATTTCAACTATTATTTACAAATAATTTACAGATATGTTGCAATATAAAATAGTTCTTATTACATTTGATTGCAACATACATTTTGTTGAAAAATTTTTGTTGTTACAATGATGAAATTTTAAATTTAACTAAACTAATTTTTCAGGTTTGTTTAATATTTTATATTAAATCTATTTCACTTAAAATTTAAAATATTTTCAAAAATATTGTTTTATTTATATAAATGGTACTCAATTAAAAATGGAACACTTATACAAATATAATTTGACCCCCATGTGCCAGGATGGATACTGGGTGTGCTGTTAAGAATGGACCTTGCCATTCATTGAACCAGTAGCTCAAATATCTTGGTTGTCACGTGGTTCAAGGCTGTGTTATATGGAAGTTTTATGGTATTGGATTGATAACTATGTGATCAGAACTATAACTGATATTCAGCTTTAATGCAATCTCTCTTATAGTGATGTACTGATTTTACAGATTATTCCATGTACAGTACATGTTGACCAACATCATCTATAGTCACATCTATAGTGTGGTTGACTGGACCAAGCATCATCATTCACAAACCCATTTACTCCATTCATGCACACAAAATTATCTCAACCATTCTTTGGTGAGATTTCCAAACACCAACACTTTCAGCCATGAGTAAGTGCGTAATAACTCACTGCTTTACTCATTTCCATACTACATTTCTGATAAAGACTGACACTACCGCAAATGCAATGCAGACAGCTTACATGGCATCCTAGACATTCATGGTATGGTAATTGCTTCAATGAATGGCATAGTACATTCTTAACAAGTGAGGTATCCAGCATAGGGCATCAATGTCAAATTAGTTTAGGATTTCTGTTTTCATTGAACATCCCTTAAACAACCTGAAGACTGCTTCAAATAAAAATTTTTTAAAATGTAAAAATACATTATTACAGTACTATTATTTTACAATGTGTTTCTATAATTTCTTTTATTGTAAACATAATATTAAATTTATAAAAATATTATAAAATAAGTGCACATAAATTTATTGTACCAGATGAAACTTTCTAGAACTATATTTTGCAAAATTCTTGAATCAAAAAGTCTCTCATAAATCTATATAAAAACATATTTTAGGCTATATTTGAAAATAAATAAAAATTTTTATTAAACAATTATATTACGTGACTAGACAAACATTATAAAATATGTATGAATTATGATTACATACATGGCACTCAAAAGAAGACCTCATAGTTTGGAAGCATTGAAAATTTTATAGATTTACATGCCCTATATAAAGTTATTGATAAATATAAATAATTGAAAAGATAATCTAATATTTAAAAAATAAGATAAAGAAATACAAATAAAGATCTAATGCACATAAACAGTTATACAAATGAATTAACTGTTACTAATTATTTTAAATAAATCAGTTAATTAATTCTCAATAACATCAAAAGGGATATATTTTTTTTCTTAAAGTAATAAACCAATTACTTCATTTGCATCTGAATTATTTATAAATGCAAGAATGCGAAGATATAAAATGAAAAAATTCATCTTTATGCTTTCACACCTGTAAAATCAATTTTAAATTTATTAGAAAAATTTAAGTTGTAAATTTAAATATAATCATCAATTACCTTAACTTGAAATTAAATCTTAATTGTTCCCACCACTTTGTGAACTTCTTTGTTAATCCAGATTTAGAACTTTTAAATACTCCACTAGTTGCTTTTTGAGCCATTAATGTATAACGATCAATTGGATGGCCATGAAGCTTGTTTATGGATCGAATAGTGTTGATGTTTCTAAAATTTATACAAATACATTAATAAAATATAATTAACAAAAAACCAATAATTACATTATGAAGTTCAGTGTTATACATGTAGATGAACTTTAGATATTTATGTAATGTAATATTTATCAAATAAAAATATTAAGAAAGGACCATATGCATTTCCAATAGGAAATCTGCCTAAACAAATAATCCTACATCAAAATTCAACCAAGCCAGTATAAAACAAAACTTGGGTGAGAAATAATCCATAGCTTCTTGGATATCAGCCTATAAAGAAAGTTATGTTGAAATTTTCAGCTGTCTATGTTAAGCTGTATGATGAAAGCAGCTTGATTTATGAGATAGAATTGGATCCTTTATCATGACAGTACCCCCTGTATAATGAATGTTCCTAGTCTTACTTATCTGATCAAGAAAGCATAACAATGCTTCTCCCAACTGCCTTACTCCCTTAATCTGTCTCCTGCAAGCTTTTATCTTTTCCACAAAATGGAAGCTGCATTCTTCAATTTCTCTTTCAATCAGAAGCAGAGGTGTAAGTCCTATTAGCAATGAAAGCCCTTAAAGCCATTACAAAAAATGGTTTCCAGGACTACTTTAACAAATGCTTTGTATGCTGGAAGAACTAAAGTTAGTTGAAGAAGACATATTATGTAATAAGAGTACATTTTATTTTGAATATGGTATAGATTAAGATCTTCCATATATGTGTAATAAAATGTGTTCAAAAGTGAACCACTTTCGTATTTTTAATGTTATTTCAAAGCATGAAATAAATGTGATATTTTCAAATTTTTATTACATTATAATAAATTTTTACAAACATTAATTTTGTGTGTCTGAATATATTTTCTTCTATAAAGTAACATGACTGCACACAAGAATTATGGGTCCCTTGACAAATTCCACAAGCACCTGACACATTTACTTGTGGGCAGCCTGTAAACTAACATAATATTGTTTATAACAATATTATATTGTTAATAATACATAATAACAATNGTTTTCATTAATATTTCTAAGTTAAATTTTTCTATATCTAATAGTACATCATTGGGTTCTTCCAATGATTATGTAAAGAATTAGAACACTGAGGTGAATATAGTTCTAGAATATAGGAATTTTTGATTTGGTAGTAGTTAAGTAAAAAAATATAAAAGTGGGACAGAGTCAACATATCCAGATGGACCATCCCCAAAAAATTTCTGGGGATTTTTTGACCCGTTCAGATACGATTCTGGATCTCCCAGAGCAGTAGACTGCCATCTTGACCACTGGATAAAGGATACATGGATAGTTCGCCACCCAAGAGTTGATTATCCAGGTTTAATCTTGTGTCCCATAGATCAGTTAAGCTAACTCCTTAACTATATCAGCAATTCAGCTGTCCAATATTTTATATTTCTTATCTTTGGTCTATTCTTATAAGTAAAAATTCACATAAATAATAGTGGTACGTTCAGTCCATTGAAACAGTTATAATTCTATTAGTTCTCGTTATTTGTTGTTATTAATTAAATTTAGATAAAAATGAATTCACTAAACTAATAAGAAAATATTAATTAGCAAAATATATTTTATTTTTAACCTGTATAAATAATTTTATTAATACTAGTAAATAAAGTATAATATACCTAAAAACAAGAAGCATTGAAGATGGTAAGGATCTAATAGCAGACATTATTTTATCAAATTTTTCTTTTGCCATTTTCTTCATATATTGCATATCTTCACTGGATAAATTATTTGGAATGTGGAAACCTGATCTATCCAATGGACGCTGCATCAATATTTCACAGAAAAGATAATAATCTATAATATAATACAATTACATAAATTAAGTATTATCATAATATTTTTATAGAAACAACAGATTTTTAATACAGTATCATTAAAAGGATTATTTCTAACCTTTAACACCTAATTCTTCACAATGTTTTTTCATTCCAACATGATCATTTAATATAATTGATTTCCATAATTTGCATAGAGAGAGACGATTTTCCTCAGGCAAATATTCATATAATCCATGGTCAAGCAATACAATTTCAGCTTTTCCAGTTTTTTTATCCTTTCTAATATAAACTAAATATTTAAGCAAATTCAAATATAGATATAATTAAAGAAAATATTATTAAAAAAGGAAACATTTAATGTCTGGATAAACTAATATATTAAAATAAAATTTAATACAAGAGTAGAAAGTTTAGAATTTATAAGAAAACATCAATAACAAAATTTAAATAACATGTTGGCATAATAAACAAGACGTGAAGGTGCAAATTGAACTTTAGATTATTATTTAGATGAAAAAATAGGCAAATTGGAGTAAAAACTGTTCTAAATTATCTTCTTAATAAAGTTATTAACAGAGAGCAACAGAATTATTCCTAGTGAAAATTATGTATTGGTCTTTAAGTTATTAATGTTGTAGTGTAGGTGGAAAGTAACTAAACATTGAGAAATTGCTATTTTTGAAATAATAACTTATCATAATAAAATTTGTGCATGCATGTACTGTACATCAATCAATGGAATTTTATAACTCTCACATTGATAGTGTGGACATTGACCAAGAAAGATCACAAGTGCAGTGGCAAAAAAGATGGCTGACCACTTATTTTTTCAGAGCAAGAAAAGATTGTTGTGCTATGAAGATTGTTCAGAGCAAGAAAAGATTGTTGTGGAAATCAGTGGTTACTGTGCAGAGATGGTGGTGTTTGGTTGAGAGACATCATGCCACAATCAGTCCAGAAGCAATCAAGAATTGTCATGTGAAGCTAATGAATGACCACAGGTTTGGTTATGGATACACAGAGAAATGACCATTTAGCTACATCACGATCTGAGGAAAACATGTCGGTGGATGGCACTGCCTAGATTGAATTTTGAGATATACACCCATATTTAAATTTAATATGGTTCATGCCAAACAATATTCATTATTTTTGTATTAGAAATATAGAAATTATAGCAATTTCTCAATGCCTAGTTACTTTCAACCCATCTAGCATAATAAAATAATTTTTTTTTTTAATTTAATTAATAGTAAATTATTCAATGGGATCAGCTATTTACTTAAAATGAATAAACATAACTATATTTCTAAAAATTTTAAAAGATGACATACAGATTACAGTCTCCAAGCTAAAACACTATCAGTACCGATCTTGAAGTAACAAATTACAACATTAAGCCAGTTAACAATAAAAAGACGTTTATTTTACTTCTTTTTATCCAAATGCATTTCGTCTTCTTTCTTTGGCCTCATCAGCTGATAACAATGCTTGTTTGATGTTGATGCTTTTATACCGTACAAGAAAAAGTAAAATAAACACCTTTCTATTGTCAACTGTTTAATGTCGTAATTCGTTACCTCAGAATTGGTGCCAATTGAGTGTTTTAGCTCAGAGAATGTATTCTATATTTTATCTTTTAAAATTTTTAGAAATATAATTATTTTTATTAATTTTAAAATAATTTTTTTCCTTTTGTAATGAAAAGTAAAAACAATAATGAAGGAAAGTTAATTTTTGATAAATTTAAGAATTATATAGGGTGGTCATAAAGTCTTTCCTTGATTACAAACATTTATTGTAAAAAATCTATGGTGGGTTCCTGATTCCTAAAACTGATTCCTGGAGTTTCATTTTACTGTAATTTTGTCCATACTATGAATAGTCCAAGTTGTGACTGCAATTGTACAGTTTCACAAAACAAATTTACAAATTACAGTTTAACAAAGCTTCAGATAATAGTATAATTGAAAAACCAAAGTAAAAAAACATTAAAAGTACATAAAATTTAAAGAGATTGATAGTGTTGATAACCTGAAAAGAACTGGAAGACCAAGTACAAATACAAGTACAAATGAAGAAACTGTTGATGCTGAGTGTAAAGCTTTCCAACACAGTTCTCACAAATCAACTTGTCATGCTTCAAATGAACATGTTGCTATGAGCACATTGCTTGGATTTTCCATAAATGGCTTTACTTGTATGCATACAGTGTGCCAAGTGTATAAGCCTTAGAACCAGATGATTGCCCACATCATGCTGCTTTTGCAAATTATATCTGTAATGCAAAGATGCAAACAATGATTACTTGACGCATGTTTGTTTTTCAGATGAGACCACCTTTCATATTTTGAAAAAAGTAAATACAGTGGAACCTCGGTTAATGAACTTTTATTTTACAAAAATTTTGTCTCGGATAGCGGATGAAATTCAGATAATGAATTAACGCTTTTTTGTGTAAAATTTCAGTTGCTGTTAGGTGTGCGTGAGGTAAGCATTGCTTTTCCAAGTGCTAAACTTCTTTTTTTAGTTTTGTGATTTATATATTTAATCAATATGGCACCCAAGAAAGAGAAAAGTGATAGTGGCAATAGAAAATGTTTTAGTGTAGCATTAAAGAAAAAAAATTATTGCAAAACACGAGAATGGCATTCGTGTTTCTGACATTGCTAAAGAATATAATGTGATAGAATAGACTATCTCTACAATTATTAAAAACAAAGAAGCATTTAAGGCTGCCAAAGTGGCTAAAGGAGTGTATGTGATATCAAAACAAAGATCTAAAGTTTTAAAATTAAAAAACTACTGCTAATATGGATCAATGAAAAGTAACTTGCTGGAGACAGTGTTAGTGAAGCTTGGATTTGTGAAAAGGCTAAAATGAGTTGTTGACCCAGGCACCCAGTGCAAGTGCAGATGGACAGAACTTTAAAGCAAGCCAAAGGTGGTTTTTGATAGGTTTAGTCGATAAAATGGCATTAACAGTGTCATAAGGCAAGGGGAAGCTTCAAGTTCAGATGAAAAAGCAACAAAAGCATTTGTGGATGAATTTGCAAAGTTTGTAAAAGGTGAAGAATACGTCTCAAATCAAGTGTTCAATTGCAAAGAGACTGGTCTTTTTTAGAAAAAAATGCCTAGACAAACATACATAACCCGAGAAGAGAAAGCACTACCTGGGCACAAGCCATGAAGGAAAGACTCACTCTTTTATTTTGCACTAATGTAAGTGGTGACCTCAAAATCAAGCCACTTGTAGTCTACAATGCTGAAAATCTCCATGCTTTTAAGAGCAATAATGTGATAAAGTCCAAACTGCCTGTACAATGGAAGGCAAATAGCAAGGCATGGGTAACTTGGACTTTATTCATGGATTGGCACACAGAAGTGTTTGCTCCAACTGTCAAAAATTATCTTCAGCAAATGGATCTTCCTCTTAGATGTCTTCTCTCAATGGATAATACCCCAGCACATCTGCCAAGTTTGGAGAAAGATCTGGATAGTGAGCACGACTTCATCAAGGTCAAATTCCTTCCACCCAACACAACTCCATTACTGCAACCAATGATCAGCAAGTGATTTCCAATTTTAAAAAACTGTATACCAAGGCACTGTTCACCAGGTATTTCCAGGTTACCAATGATATCGACTTAACAGAGCTTTTTGGAAGGTGCATTTTAACATCCTGCATTGTATCAACCTTATTGACAAAGCCTGGAGTGAGGTCTTTCACTGCACTTCTCAATCAGCCTGAAGGAAACTTTGGCAAACTTGTGTCCTAGAGCAAAACTTTCAGGAATTTGATGCAGAAAGCTCATGAAATTGTGTCCATTGGCAAAAGTTTGGGATTAGAGGTATATGATGCAAACGTGGAGGAGTTGATGAACTAACCACAGAAGAGCTGGTTTCCTTGCAGGAAGAACACGTAAAAGTCTTATATGAAAAGCATTCGTCAGAGCATTCAAGAGAAGGTTAGGGAAGAAATCACCAGTGCTGAGATCAAGGAAATTTGCAGAAAATGGAACGATGTGCAGGAATTTATCAAGTACCACCACCCTAACAAAGTTGTGGCTAATAGGGTCATTAATTTAATGAACAACAATGCGATATCGCATTTTCGAAAAATTTTGATTAAGAAAGTAAGACGATCAATTTTAGACCATTTTCTTGTTCCTTATCAAAAGAGACCTCAACTCAAAGAATCTCCTAATGCAGTGCTACCCAAAATTTTTATGGAGGGGGATTTCCCTTCCAAGCATTAAGCTCCATACAAATGAAGGTATGTACAGTGCTATTTTATTAAATAAAGTTTACATATTTGTTGCTGTAATGATAGATACTACATTTTCCTATATTTTCATCAAAGAAAACCCATTTTACAAATAAAATTAAAAAAATACCTGCAGCTAGAATAGATAAATTGTATTTGCATTAATTTCTATGAGAGAAACTGCTTTGGTTAATGAACAGAGTTGTGGAATGGATTAAGTTCATTAACCGAGGTTCCACTGTAGACACCAATTGGGCTTACTGAGAACCCATGTATTACTTCAGCAATATGGTACAACAAACATTGGGATTACCTGTTCATCAATTCCTACCCTATATGAAACTTTTCCTAACTGATAGATAGGGAAGAATAGACCAACAGCATGGTCATCTTGGTAACTGGATAACCTTTCTTGACTTTTTGTCCTTAACATAACTCCATAAAGACATTTTTGATACATGTTGCTGATATAGAAACTCTGAAAATGAGGATAACAGAAGCTATAGCAATGGCCCCTGAAGAAACGTTAAAAAAATTGAATAATAACCTTATGTTCTCTAAGCCACAATAAAGGCCTAGAGAACATAAGGTGGACTCCATTTGTTGACCTAGAGGAAATACTTTATGAGGTGAACTATAATTTGCTGAAAACTATATATTTCTATATAGCATAGTGTTTGCACAATAAATGTTTGTAAATCGAGAAAAGACTTAATGATTATCCTGTATGTAACATTCAGAAATAATGTATATTACATATAACAGAGATATTAATAAGTGTATTTTGTTTGCATTTCATCAAAAATCTGATTATATTTGATTTATTTTAATTCTTTTTGTGAAGGTTTTGTTTAAAATTATAGTTAATGTTAAATGTCTGAAAAAAAATTTCAAAAAATTTTTTATACTGTATAAAACATTTTTGATAAAATTACTTCAAATATGCTTATAAATAGAAACACTATTATTGTTAATACAGAATTCTCAGCAGTCATTCTGAGCAGCTATTAAAATATATATCCATTTTTTAATGATTCTTGTTTTTCTCAAAGTAGCTGCAACAGCTATTTTGAAAAGTCAATTTTTTTTTTAGTTCTATTATCAGAAAACTCAATTTACTGTAAATGTTTTGTTAAAAAATCATAGATTTTACAATTTTAAAATCATTTATACTACAGCTAAATTGAATTTTTATAATGGAAAAAGCTATGGAATTCAGAAAAAATATCTATAAACTCTAATTAAATTGAAATGCTTTTTGCTGATTATTTCTATCATTCTAATATCTTTACTTACTGTTTCCTGGATGAGGATCTGCATGTACAAAACCTGTATGAAAAATCTGTTCAGCAAATGTTAAAACTAATTTTTCATCAACCTGAAATTAAATCATACAATGGCAATGAATACTTTTTACATATTTATTATATAAACTAAACATATTAAAAATATAATTATTTAATATTTGCATTTTCATGCACAGAAAATTATAGAACTTCATAGCTAAATCTAATTCAAAGAAATTAAAATCTGTTTAATAAGATATACCGTATATTTCTGCAGATAAGACGACCTTCAGATAAGACGAGGTATAAATTTTCATCAAAGTTTTATTGTTTTAGCATATACAGTGGAACCTTTCCCATAAGAAGTAATGTAAAAATGATTAATTTGTTCTCATGTAAAAAAAAAAAAAATGGTTGGCTTTTTACACCTCACTTTCCTGGCTAGTTCCTGCTTGATTTTTCATGAGATCAGCATGTATCTTTTTAGCTTTCTCGCAAATAATTGCTTTTGATATGCTGTCTCTAGCACACTGTTTTCTAGTTATCTAAAGCAAAAGCAATTTCTCAACATGATCTAATGTCTTCAATCTCTGTTTAGAAATTGATTTAACTCCTTTCCCAATGTTAGCAGATTTAATAATGTCTTTATTTTTCACGATTGTCGATATCTTCGTTCTCAGAATACGGTACGCAATAGTTAAATCTCGAACACGCATGCCACCTTCATATTTCTCAACAATCTCTTTTTTCAGTTCCATTGTAATTCTAGTCATTTTTTTTTAAATTTTCTGTTGCTTTTCATTTGCCTTTTTGCAATTCATGATTAATAAAAATAATAAAATTTTACTTACAAATTAAAATCAGAAGAAATTTAACAAAGTAACCAAACCATGGCACCGCAAATGTCTAGTCTGGTCTAATATACCGATAGTGCTACTTGTTCATAGATGGCGCGTATAATTGAATTAAGTCGTATACTGAACAAAAGTCGTATACCAAGCAAAATTTGTTTCGTCCAAACAGGACGTATTCCGAATTGGACATATTCTAAAGCAGATGTATACCAAGGTACCACTGTATCTGTCCTATCAGATGACCCACAAACTATCAACGGCCTAAGAATTTAGTTCAGATCATTGATCATCATCTGGATAATAATACTGTATAGCACATACGGAATTATGTCCTATTTGTAATTTTTCGAACAAACAAATTTTATTTTCTTGCATCTGGCAGCACTGTCTTGCAATTGTTGCAAACATTTGCACTGATTCGGGCATTTGGGTAATGACCTTGACTATTCACAAAAATGTTGTATGGGCTATTTTATTTTATGGACATACCCTACTCTCTACTAGTAAATAATTACTGTTTGTCAGTTTGTTTATAATAGTTTTAATTTATATAAATTGAAATATAATTTTTTTTGTATCTGTCCTATAAAACAACCCCAAATTTTGGGGGCCATTTCTTATGATTCAACTATTGTCTTATTTGTGGAAATATATGGTAATAAATTACAACTGAGGTTTTAAGTTTTACTAGAACTGTTATTGTCTTAACTATTCTTTGTCTTTTAGAATGAGAAATATTTTTTTAATATTTCGTAATTAATGAAAATCTTGAAATTTTTCTAAAAATATGTCTTATTATTTGTTTAGTCAGTCACAAATTTCCACTTCATCATATTACAATCTTAGTAGAGGGCTTCCAAAAATGAAATAGAATCTATTAACTGCTTTAAGTTGAAAGTAATCTAGAATGCTATGTTCAAATAAGTTAAACACAACATTTAATTAAACACACAAAATTCAAATGTAAAAATATATAAAAGTTACTCATTTGAATTTTGTTTTCATCCTGGATAGATCTAAGTCTAGAAACACTACAATTATTTTATATTATATTAGCTAATGCTAATCTAATCTAATAATGCTAATCTAATATAAAAATATTGCATTGTTTTACTTGAATTTTTGGAGTGCTGGTGAAAAGGATGTTTTAGTTCATTAATTAATCATGTAAAATGTAGTGTCATTTTGATGTAAAAACATCTTATCTACTTCAAAGTTTAAATGAAAGTTTACACTCTGTCCATAATCTTATAATCAGTATTGTTTAGTTAATGAATTAAAACATCAATTTAATTTATTGTGCTTTATTAAATAAATTTAAATTTTGCAGAATTGAATTTAGCTATGAACTTTTATAATTTTCAAATAATAGAGTCAAACAAATATATCAATTATGATATATTAAACTTTTCACTATAATTTTCAAATAATAGAGTCAAACAAATATATCAATTATGATATATTAAACTTTTCACTGTCACAAACTTTTTCACAATATAACTTGACTATAAAAAACAAGTATAATTTTTATATTATATTTATAACAAAAATACAATTTTTTGAAAAATTTACAAAGTTATTTAATATAAAATGTTCTCAATGCTTAACAAATCAAAAATATTTGAAAGATAAGTATAACAATGTTCTAACATTAGTAATATTTAATCATAAAATCTCATCAAAAATGTTTAGAATCTTATTATCTATTTTAGTACTCCCTAAAGTTGCACTGAGAGACCTGAAAGTACTAGGATTTAACCAAGATTTTTTAAAATTCTGATCTCTAAGAAAGTGCAGACAGAAACTGTCATTAAAAAATATTGAATAAGTCAAGTGTTTATAAATGAATTAGTCTAAAAAAATGAGTCAAAAAATAAATTAAGTGGAATGTTAAATGAAAAACATTCCAATACATGTTACTAAAGATGGTGTACAGCCTTCTATTCTTGGCTTGACTAAAGAAGCAAATAGAATGGCCAGCTCCAATCTGATGCTGAGATCATCCTGAGGATGATTCTGTTCAAGCTTCTGCTTCACTGCATTTCCTGAGTGAAACAGAAGTTTGGTGGGCCTCATATCTGCATGGACTGAATGGCAGAAGCTAGCTGGCCATTGGGAGTCAATCCCATCTCATCTGTTCAACAGTCCATTGCTAGACTAACATAGAACATTAAAAGTGTGAAAAAAATTTACTTTTTAAAACTTCACATATTGTATAAAGAATAAAATATAAAGTAATCATTTATTCAATAAAATATAATACAATTAAAAAAGGTTAGAATAATTCTAGCCTTCANATTTAATATTTGCATTTTCATGCACAGAAAATTATAGAACTTCATAGCTAAATCTAATTCAAAGAAATTAAAATCTGTTTAATAAGATATACCGTATATTTCTGCAGATAAGACGACCTTCAGATAAGACGAGGTATAAATTTTCATCAAAGTTTTATTGTTTTAGCATATACAGTGGAACCTTTCCCATAAGAAGTAATGTAAAAATGATTAATTTGTTCTCATGTAAAAAAAAAAAAAATGGTTGGCTTTTTACACCTCACTTTCCTGGCTAGTTCCTGCTTGATTTTTCATGAGATCAGCATGTATCTTTTTAGCTTTCTCGCAAATAATTGCTTTTGATATGCTGTCTCTAGCACACTGTTTTCTAGTTATCTAAAGCAAAAGCAATTTCTCAACATGATCTAATGTCTTCAATCTCTGTTTAGAAATTGATTTAACTCCTTTCCCAATGTTAGCAGATTTAATAATGTCTTTATTTTTCACGATTGTCGATATCTTCGTTCTCAGAATACGGTACGCAATAGTTAAATCTCGAACACGCATGCCACCTTCATATTTCTCAACAATCTCTTTTTTCAGTTCCATTGTAATTCTAGTCATTTTTTTTAAAGTTTTCTGTTGCTTTTCATTTGCCTTTTTGCAATTCATGATTAATAAAAATAATAAAATTTTACTTACAAATTAAAATCAGAAGAAATTTAACAAAGTAACCAAACCATGGCACCGCAAATGTCTAGTCTGGTCTAATATACCGATAGTGCTACTTGTTCATAGATGGCGCGTATAATTGAATTAAGTCGTATACTGAACAAAAGTCGTATACCAAGCAAAATTTGTTTCGTCCAAACAGGACGTATTCCGAATTGGACATATTCTAAAGCAGATGTATACCAAGGTACCACTGTATCTGTCCTATCAGATGACCCACAAACTATCAACGGCCTAAGAATTTAGTTCAGATCATTGATCATCATCTGGATAATAATACTGTATAGCACATACGGAATTATGTCCTATTTGTAATTTTTCGAACAAACAAATTTTATTTTCTTGCATCTGGCAGCACTGTCTTGCAATTGTTGCAAACATTTGCACTGATTCGGGCATTTGGGTAATGACCTTGACTATTCACAAAAATGTTGTATGGGCTATTTTATTTTATGGACATACCCTACTCTCTACTAGTAAATAATTACTGTTTGTCAGTTTGTTTATAATAGTTTTAATTTATATAAATTTCAATATAATTTTTTTTGTATCTGTCCTATAAAACAACCCCAAATTTTGGGGGCCATTTCTTATGATTCAACTATTGTCTTATTTGTGGAAATATATGGTAATAAATTACAACTGAGGTTTTAAGTTTTACTAGAACTGTTATTGTCTTAACTATTCTTTGTCTTTTAGAATGAGAAATATTTTTTTAATATTTCGTAATTAATGAAAATCTTGAAATTTTTCTAAAAATATGTCTTATTATTTGTTTAGTCAGTCACAAATTTCCACTTCATCATATTACAATCTTAGTAGAGGGCTTCCAAAAATGAAATAGAATCTATTAACTGCTTTAAGTTGAAAGTAATCTAGAATGCTATGTTCAAATAAGTTAAACACAACATTTAATTAAACACACAAAATTCAAATGTAAAAATATATAAAAGTTACTCATTTGAATTTTGTTTTCATCCTGGATAGATCTAAGTCTAGAAACACTACAATTATTTTATATTATATTAGCTAATGCTAATCTAATCTAATAATGCTAATCTAATATAAAAATATTGCATTGTTTTACTTGAATTTTTGGAGTGCTGGTGAAAAGGATGTTTTAGTTCATTAATTAATCATGTAAAATGTAGTGTCATTTTGATGTAAAAACATCTTATCTACTTCAAAGTTTAAATGAAAGTTTACACTCTGTCCATAATCTTATAATCAGTATTGTTTAGTTAATGAATTAAAACATCAATTTAATTTATTGTGCTTTATTAAATAAATTTAAATTTTGCAGAATTGAATTTAGCTATGAACTTTTATAATTTTCAAATAATAGAGTCAAACAAATATATCAATTATGATATATTAAACTTTTCACTATAATTTTCAAATAATAGAGTCAAACAAATATATCAATTATGATATATTAAACTTTTCACTGTCACAAACTTTTTCACAATATAACTTGACTATAAAAAACAAGTATAATTTTTATATTATATTTATAACAAAAATACAATTTTTTGAAAAATTTACAAAGTTATTTAATATAAAATGTTCTCAATGCTTAACAAATCAAAAATATTTGAAAGATAAGTATAACAATGTTCTAACATTAGTAATATTTAATCATAAAATCTCATCAAAAATGTTTAGAATCTTATTATCTATTTTAGTACTCCCTAAAGTTGCACTGAGAGACCTGAAAGTACTAGGATTTAACCAAGATTTTTTAAAATTCTGATCTCTAAGAAAGTGCAGACAGAAACTGTCATTAAAAAATATTGAATAAGTCAAGTGTTTATAAATGAATTAGTCTAAAAAAATGAGTCAAAAAATAAATTAAGTGGAATGTTAAATGAAAAACATTCCAATACATGTTACTAAAGATGGTGTACAGCCTTCTATTCTTGGCTTGACTAAAGAAGCAAATAGAATGGCCAGCTCCAATCTGATGCTGAGATCATCCTGAGGATGATTCTGTTCAAGCTTCTGCTTCACTGCATTTCCTGAGTGAAACAGAAGTTTGGTGGGCCTCATATCTGCATGGACTGAATGGCAGAAGCTAGCTGGCCATTGGGAGTCAATCCCATCTCATCTGTTCAACAGTCCATTGCTAGACTAACATAGAACATTAAAAGTGTGAAAAAAATTTACTTTTTAAAACTTCACATATTGTATAAAGAATAAAATATAAAGTAATCATTTATTCAATAAAATATAATACAATTAAAAAAGGTTAGAATAATTCTAGCCTTCATAACACATCAATTAACTTTGTATTTGCATGTAAATTTATTTTTATTTTCTATGAAAATAAAACAGACAAATTTTAAAACTTTATAAAAATACAAAAAAATAAATAATAAAACATGTTTAATTTGATCTTCAATTAAAAATTCTAAAAGAAAAAAACAAAGATTAATTTAAAGAAACAAGAAACTTTTCTATTTTTAAAATTTAGTTGCCTTTCTGAAAAAAATTTTAGGTATTTTCATTATTACAAAGTAACTTATTGAGAACCATGTAATAAGCATTTATCTATATTATTAATTAAATAAATATACATTTTCTTATCATGTTTTTATGTTTTATGAGTTGGGGAGACTATCCACATTTTGGATAAGATAATTGAATCATTTTTCTTTTATAGAATTATCGCAGAGAAATTTGCATGTATTGTAAGGATGATCAGATATTGGATGCTTTTCACGTGATTGCTAAATGCTCTAAGTTAGAAAAAATTCGGGAAAGTATGTTTGGAACTTCTATTATTCCGTTGGATAATTTTTTTAAAACTTATTACTAATATAATGATCCCTTGTACGGAGTGACGTACATCGTTGTTCATTTTGCATATTGGAGTATTCGTTTTTTGCCGAAAGGTGGCATTTGTTTTTTCCTTAAAAGTGTGCTTGTGGCTAAGAAGTGTTGGGAGACTATCCACATTTTGGATAAGATAATTGAATCATTTTTCTTTTATAGGTGGGTGTAATTAATGTTTTTTTTCTTTATATAATGATGTTTTTGGTTGGATAGTTCTCCCCATGATGATTTTTTGTTATTATGTTATATGTTTATATTTGGATAGTGGGCTTTCAGATATTTATTTTTGATGTTTATAATAATACTTGTATAATTTTTGTTTTGATTTATGTATATGTTAATTTTCTCTGTAATAATGGATGGATTATGATATTTTTTTGTGTAATGTACATGTAACGAATTATTGTATACCCCGCATCATGGGCTCTGCCTAGTATGTCTAATTAAATAAATGTTTTATGAGTTATTTACATAAATGAAAAAAATAAATGCATCCTTAAACTTTTAACATAGTATAATTTGAGAAAATCAAAAGCACTGATTTAATTAATTTATATAAGTAACCTCTGTTAACTGGAGAAACAATAGACTTACTTAAAATACCCAAACTCCAGCATAAGAACTAACATTTTTGGAGTTCTTACGCCTCCATATTCAGGTTTTGCAGTCATTTGAATGTAGAACAAATTTCTTTTGTTGGACATATGATGAAATTTGTATCAAACATTTTTTAAAAAAAGATAAACTTCACATGCTGTTTAAATTTTAGCACTTATAAGTTACTATTGCTTGGTTAGTGCTAACGAGTTTCTGTCTTTGCAGTTGATTACAGTTTCTTCCCTTGCCACATTGTAAATTTTGATGTTTTCTAAATGCCATATTTGCATTTTTTTATCTGTGCAGTGTAACAGTTTGGTTTGATCAACATATGTATGCATATCTTCTTCCATGGCTATGGTGGATAAAGCAGTGTTGTCTCGTCCCTTTTTTTTAATCAATGTTATGTGCTCTTGGACGCATTGATGTAAGGGTCTTCAAGTGGCCCTATATATTGCAAATGCTTTCCTGTTCTGTTATCCATTATCAGCACTGCATACAGTTCTAGAAGGTTGGATCTGTTGATATTATCTTTGCTGTTGCAGAGTAGCCTATACTGTATATTGTTGGGCTTCTTTTGTAAGCTAATGCAATTTTATTGGTGTTTTACAATCTCCATGTAGTTATATGCTAGCTGCTTGTTGTACATTATGCTTCTGTACTGTTGTGGAGTTGCAGGTTTCTTATTGGTGTTATTTTGATATTGCTTAATCAGGCCTTCAATGCTCCTCTTATCAGGATAACAGAACAGGAAAGCAATTGCAATATATGGGGGCCACTTGAAAACGCTTACATCAATGTCTCCAAGAGCACATAACATCGATAAAAAAGGGACAAAACAATACTTTATCCACCATAGCCTTGGAAGAAGACATGCATACCTATGTAGATCAAACCAAACTGTTACACTGCACAGGTAAATAAAACACAAATATGGCATCTCAAAAAAAATTCAAAATTTACAAGGTGGCAAGAGAAGAAACGGCCATCAATTATAAAGACAGCAACTCACTAGCCCAGGCATGAAGAACTTCATACAATATATAAAAAATATCACACCACAAAAATGTCATTAGTAGTAACCAAGCAATAGCAACATATGTGTTAAAATTTAAATAGCACATAAAGTTTGTCTTTTTTTAAAAAAAACATTTGATACAAACATCATAAGTCCAACAAAAAAATTTGTTCTACATTCAAATGACTGCAGAACCTGAATCCATATGGAGGCATAAGAACTCTGAAAAGTTTAGTTCTGATGCTAATATTGCACGTTACTGCTGGAGTTTGGGTATTTTAAGTAAGTCTGTTCAATTAATTTAATTTATATAAGTTCAATATATATTTTGATGATTATGCTTTTAGATATATAAAAAAACTGTTAGTTTATCTTTTGACTCATTATATTTCAATTTACATTAATTTAAGATATTGAGAAAGATTTCTTACATCAGCAAGTTGAAGTCCAAGATTTTTAATTGCCTTCTGATTGTCTAGTTTTACACCATTTATATATTCAGCTGTCAATATACGCTATAATTATAAATTAATTAAAATTTACTTATATACTCACAAATTTTAAAATCAAATGTATTAAGTTTTTATTAATCTGAATTTTTCTATAATATTTAATATCCAAAATTATTTCTTAATTAATTACAATTTTTAATTCAGAATTTCAGAAAGTTACTTTTATCTTTGTAAAATATATTATAAATCACAAAAACATATTTTTAATCATTAAATTAAAATTAATTGTTATCAAAATTTACACAAAGGATTACTTTTTTAAACATTGAACAAAGTAATAATTATTCTGAAATCGGATATAAAAAAAATTACTTGTGGTAATTACTTATAACAACTTATTCTAAGTATTTTTTCTTTTGTACAAAAATAAATCTGTATATACTACACTCAAACCTTGGTTTTTGAACATAATTCATTCCAAAAAGTTGTTCTAAAATCAAAACAACTTTTCTCATAAGAAACAATACAAACTAGATTAATCCATTCCTGACCTCCAAAATAAAGCCTGTTTTTTTACCTTTTTAGTTGTATTCCTTACCTTTCTAAAAGATGTTCATTTAAAGTTCTTGTGTTTAATTAATACTGTTAAACATAATGCCAAACACCAATTGTGTATTAATGAGAAAAAAATTAAAAAATTTTATTTAATAATAAATCTAAGGAGTAGATTTGGACCTGTTCTATTTTTTTTGGGATTATTTTAGTTTGTTTATTCTATTTATTTTGGGGCATTTCATTTTGTTAAGGATAGACTACTGTACCTCACCTGGACAAAATTCAAAAATTAACTCACCTTATTAAGACAACTGCTGGTGGCAACTTATGACATCATCAACCCAGAAATGACATCTCGAGAGGAGACTTCCATAGGAAGTTAAAAGAATGATATCCCACCCCAAATTGTCATTGGAAATGCCATAAAAAATTATATAACTACTTGTAATGGAGATGACATGAATTTAAAAAAAAACCAATTACTAGAATGAATGAAATGTTAACAATTAAGTATGTAAATAGGGTCAAGTAGGCATATGCTTGTAACATCACCCCAACTGCACTATAAGGAGGCAAATTGAAGAATCAAATCAGGCAGTGCTAAGGAGTGAGCGAGATTGACAAAAGGCTTTCCAGTACCAGTGACCACATAGCTTTTTGGGGACGGTTAGACAAATTAGTAAAGTTCATTGTCATTTTTTCACAATGAACTTTACTAATTTTGCTTGTCAGTTTTTGTGGAGATAGTTCTAAGATAATTATAGCATAATTTGTAAGCCCCCAGTTGTCGGGAAAGTTTTGGATATATTTGTTTTTTGGATTTTTGATAAATTATCTTTATTTTGCAAGTTTTTTCTCTAATGTTATTTCTTGATTGTATATATTCAGGCTTTTACTAATAAATAGATTTTTGCATTATGTATAGTAATTATTTCGGGTTTTTGATTTAATAATGATTCATTTATTTTTATTGTCCACACAAAGTCTGGCCTGAAACCCTTCATTTATGTAATGCACTGTTAGAATATTATCTGGGCTTTTGATTTGATCGAATAAGACATTACAAACTTTTGTTATTTAATTTGTTTGAGCACCATTAAACATGAATTCTTGGATGCCATTTATATTACATAAATGTCAATTAATATGATTTTTATTAATTAATTTCATTTAAATTCAACTGCGGCACATACCAAAAAATGAAATTAGTATCTTTCCTGCATGCACATTGAAAATTAATTTAAATAGCAATGTCATTGATGTTTCTTGTCATGACATCTAATGATTTGAAGTGATCTCAGCATCATTAACTTCTAATTGGTAGTCCTGTCATTGATTGGTCAGGCCATCAGCTTTCTTTAATATAGTCAACTTCCTGTACTTCCTATCTTTTATCTCTCTAATCTGTGGCCGGTTCTTGCCAATTAATTTGTTCAGCAACAGAGTTATTGTACAACAACCGGTGCAATTATGAGTTCAAAATTATTTGTTTAAAAAAGCAAGGCATTCAAAAACAGAGGTTTGACTATAAACAAAGGTACCTATTTTCCCAATTTCTACTGAATAATAAAACAACAAACACCTAAGTAATCAGGTTATAATATGGCTATAATAAAATAATAAATACAAAGGAATTTGGTATAGAGGTAAGCATTAGGCACCATCTCTTATCTAAATTAATAATTATAATTTTTAATAATTTAATAAATAATTTTAAACAGTCTGGAAGAAAATAACTGACCCAGGGAGGGGCTTGAACCCGCAGTCTCTGCTTGCCATTTGTTGGTTTAATTTTCAAAAATGTTAGTTAAAAAAATTTTCAAAAATGGCCTTAAGGACCGCATTTTATGTAATGCTATGTAACTTGCTGGAGATATCTCGGGATATGTCCTTAAGGGGTACATCATCGGACTTTGAGATGTATTATATTTCTACTTATCAAATTTATCAAATAGAGATTTAATTTGAAAATCTGACTGTTGGCTTTTCTAATCACCACTAGGGAAGTTTCTGACTCCCATCAGCATTACACACACATCAACTGACTTGTTGTTTATATCCATGAGCTTCCTTTTTGTTCATGGCAGCTAGGAAGCATTTTGGAAAAAAAAAACAGTCTCATCATCTTTGTACACCATAGCAGGAGTTAGTTCTTCCTTTATCATGTTCTTCAGCTTCTTTTAAACTCTTCCACATCTTTTTCATTTTCTGACCGACTTTTCCCAGCAACCGTTAGCTGCAGCATACCATGTCTTTTCTTCCAGTTTGATAGCCAGCTACCATGTGTTGTAAATAGTTTACTGCCATCAAATTTTTTGTTAAATGCCACTATTTTTTCTTTGATTTTCAGGTAGTCCTTTACTGCATTGTTGTAAGAACCATTTGTAAACAGCACTATCAATTTTATTGTTCTCACCTTTTTGCATAACTTTTCATTTTCCCAACTCACTGTCCACTTGGATGGTGTACTGTCAATGTTGATTCTCTTATCACTTTTTATGACATAAAGATGAACGTTTGACACTGTATTAAGTAGAAATGGATTTTTGGGAACAACCATGCTTTAGCTTCTCTAATATTTCCAATTTCTGATTGAGTTATAATGTAACTTGTTTTTATTGAAACCACAACTGAAGATCATCATACCAAGTTGATTACTTTCCACACTTCTAAATCAAAACTGAAACCTCACACGTGTGTGAACTTTCAGTTTTGATAAGTGGTATCATACTAGACAACCATCCATGTGATACACTCCATTTATATCACAGCTGGAAGCCAAATAATTTAGAAGTAGGATTAGCAAAAGTCTACTGTATTTGCTTAAATAGTAAAAATGTTTTCATATAATAAAATAATAATAAATAATATTTGGTCTATATATATTGTAAATTGTCTTTATTACAATATTTTCTAAAGATAATGATAATAAATAACAAAAGCTTATTATATCATCTTACATAATACTGTATTAGCCCGAATATAACGCGATATTTTTCGACCATTTATTTTCCGTTAAAAAATCGACTCGCACTAAATTCGGGGTTTAAGTAATGGAATGTAATATAAACAAGGACATTTTCCTACAGAGGTTGCCTGTGTTATTAGCTATACAGTAAAACGTCATTTATCCGAAAGCTGGTTATCCGAAACGTCTGTTATCCGAAAGCATTCCAGTCGGCAAATTTAAATTTTCGCTAGTGCTGTGGCACTGCAATCTTCGGCTATTTCTTGGGTTACTCAAATATTTTACGTTTTTGATACTAAATTAACATCTGAAGTATAATTTTTTATTGTTTTTATATTTTTCAATATATTTATTTTGTTTGTATAAAATAAAAAAATAATTTTTAACGATACAATAGTCTTCGTTAGGCTTAACATCGACGAAAATTCAATGCGAAGCGACACGCAACAGAGAAAAATTTCAACATGGGATAAATTAATATATTTTTTCGTTATCCGAAAAAGTAAGTTATCCGAACCACCCCAGTCCCCAATTGATTCGGATAAATGACGCTCTACTGTAATTACATAAATAAATGCTTATCTGATTGAATTTAACTTTCTTTGAATTCTTTTATGAGTATTATTTTTTTTCTAAATATCTTTATGAAAATTTTGGAGTCGCGTTAAATTCAGGGTTGCGTTATATTCGGGCTAATACGGTATATTATAATAATATTCTAATTTCTTGTGCTATTGTTATAGTCATAAAACAATCTAATATTGTTCTGTCCTTAATTTTTTATTATGTATCAATTCTTTATTCACTCTTAAAGTACTAAGATAGATAGATCTTATTCCTTTAGGGAGAGAAATTAAATAGTAGTAATTTGAATATTAAGTACAGTTAATCCAATCAAATTACTTTTATGATGATTTCAGAAAAAAATTAAATTATACATGTATCAATTTTGGCCAGAAAATTTACTTATATAAATTGTACTTTCTCTAATCAAGAAAATTTACTCTTTTCTATAACTTACCTTAGTTGATAAATTCCAATAAACTTTTGGAACATGAACAAATGGTAAATGTGATAATTCCAATGCACATCGTTCCATATTTTTACCTTCGTTTATGAAGTCCAATTCTTGTCTTAGATTTTCATTTAATAACTAAAGAAATACACACAAAGTTCAAATCTGCAATGTTTATTGCTACTATAAAGAGAATCATTTTAAAAATATCTAATAACATAAATAAGTTTATTTACAAACTCAGAACAAATAATAAATTCCACAATATATGTTCTGAGTTTGTAACTCAGAATACAACAACAACAATAAAAAAACGTTCCAGCCTCTTCCAGCAGAAATATTTTATTAATTAATTATTTTATTTCAACAGCAAAAGATAGTCGTATTATTAAAATCAAAATGCTATATTTAATTCCAAACAGTCAATTACCTAACTTGGTTAAAGAGAATAAAAGAAATGAAAAAACATAATTAATATCTGTAAATGTAAAATTTGTAATATTTTTATTTAAATGAAAAAATATATTTATCATCCATCAAAATAAGTTTAATATTAACATAAATTAAAATGCTAAAAAGTATTAAAAATATGTATACTTACATTGAAAGCCCAAGTAAAATCAAAATCAGGATGAATTACTCCAATTATTTTCAAAAGAATATTGATAGTATTACAATCACCATCAAAGCGTTTATGTAAATCTATATATTGTGCCTAAAAACAAACAAAAAATAATAATAATTTACATTATTATAAGAATTAAACAAGTTGTAGGTTACTTTAAAATAAGTAAACTGTAAGAAAACAATGACAACTTGTAAAGAAGCTTCTGAAATGCAAATCTAATACAAATTGTTTTCCCAGAAAATTTTCATCTAAAACAACAGCTTGAATTAGCATAAAAATAAATTAAAGCTATAGACAATCCCTCCTATATACTAATACAAATCAACACAAAATCAATCCTTCTGGAAACTGACCATTTCTGATTTTGTGTGTGTAATTATTCAGTTAATGGAAAATAATTTCTGGAAAATATAAGTTAAATAATTTTGTACAACACGCCAAAAAGTGCCTGACATTAAGTTCTACCGTATCAAATTTTGTAATACATTTTTCTAAAGATATATGAGTAAAATAAAATCACTTGACAAAATTATCAAATTCAATTTTTTTATAAGACTGTGATCTTATAAAAAACTCTTTGATCTAATGCAACATTGTTGTAGAACATATAGGTCTACATTAGAAATATCTTGTTTGTTGTTTTCTATAACAAAACAGTATTACCAATTCTCAATAGTTAACAATAAACATATCATTTAATATATCTGCATACTTTTGTGATACAATAAATGCAAAGATAATAAGAGATAAAGATATTCTCAAATTATTAATAAAAATGACAAAAGTTCAAAAAGGAAACACAGAAAAATGTCACTAAGTTGAATTACATTAACTTAAAGCTGTCTACAGCTTCAAGTTAATGTATATAGGGCTTACCATATAATACAGTATCATTAACTCAAAACGGTAGATACTTTCAACTCAAAACCTATTTTCTGTGTAAATACAGACTATTAAGATAAACAAACGTGATGGCTCTATGCCAAAAACAACATTATGTCATTATAACCTTGCATCAACATTCTTTTGCTTATACATTGTGTTACCAGTATTCCGACTGGAAAACAAGGGGCTACTTTGACAACATCCTCAAAAAGTACCATAAACTGTATACAATCATTCTGTGAACTGATTCCTGAGAAATGACTTGATAACAAAAAATTTCTGGGCAGAGAAAAATTTGAGATAATTAGGTATTAAACTCATTAACTTGAAGTTGGGATTTTTTTTTTTACTTCTTAAACTTTGACTTAATGAGGTTTTACTGTATTTATTCTCAATCATTATATGCAGCTAAAATTTGTTTTTGAAACACATTGATAAATATGTTTTGAAAACAAGTTTTGATAGATGATCCAAATCAGGAGTTCACTGTAATTATGCTTATTGATTATATTAATCACAATGAATTCCAGTATGTCTCTAAAGCCACAGCAACACAAATAAAACAAAAAGAATGAAAAAACAGCTCCTCTAAAACATTTTCGAGTCATAAACAGTTCTTCTTCAGGTGAATTCCACTTATGCAAGTAAAAATCAAAAAACTTTTCATATACAGGCAAACTAATTATTTGCCTATACATGAAAATTATCTGTATTCAATTTATTTCCTGTAAAAAATTTATGATTTTCAATGAATATTAATATATTATTAAAATAATTATTTTTAGCTTAGGCTTTAACAGAAGTTAAAAGGCTATGAAACATATGAAAATGTGTTTTATAATAACAGAGGATAAGAAAATAATTACAGTAAATACTGCTAACTTGAACTTTGCATAACTCAGACAAATTTTTTCAATAACTTTTACAATAATTTAAAATGTCTTGACAATAGAAAAGTTATAATTAATCAGAAGTCTTTGCAATACCATGCATTATATTACTATAGTCTGTAAGTTACTAAAGACTATACATTGGTACATTGTTACATACTATACTGTCATGAAATATTTTTAGTTCATTTTCTGTAAAAATAAATTCAGCAGTATAACCTACTAAATCAGTACAACTCTGTATACAGCCAATCTTAATATATTACTGTACAATATTGGTATATCCATCTTCTCATTTTCCACATCGTCTGAGGAAACACCCTACTTACCTTGGACTTTTGTAAAGTCAGACAATCTTCATCTCCTATTAGTCTGAGTTAGTGAGGTAAACTGTATGTAGTAAATCGTCTTTTTTTAAAATAAAAACAGTTATATGTAGATATTATTTTTATTTATGTTAAAATGTAAATAAAATTTCAGAAGTTTCTTGATTTATCATTAGATGCTTTTAGTAATCAAAAAAATATTTCTTTTGTTATGAAAATCTTCTCATAACAAATTAAGAAGTTCTTAAAGCATCTAAACTGTAAATAAAATTATGCATAATTATTAATTTTATTTGTTAAATGATAAAAATTTATTGCTATTTCATACTGTTTTGATATCATTCCTTTTAATTTATTATTTTCAAATTTATTTGACAAATAACTAAAAATAATTCTTGTTTGTTTATTTTAATAGGAATACATAAATGAAAATATCAGAACTATTGCCAAATTAAAATTTTAATTGCAATTAATTGGGCTGCAATTTGAAAAAGTTATAGACCCTATAAATTTTCACTGATCAGTCTGCATGTCCTTCCTTAATCACGAGAACGGAGTTAGATAGATGAAAGTCAAGACCAGGTATGAAAAGCTTAGAGGCAGAAGGCCCTAAGCTTTTCATACCTGATTAATTATAGTGAATTGAAATACAGTGGGTGATCGGTTAACTATACTGAATTGAAATACAGTGGGTGATCGGTTAACGAAAACGTGATCGGATAATGAACACTTCACTGAACAAACATAAAAAGAAGTGATGGAAATAGCAAATACCGATTGATTTTCCTTTCTCTTCAGGTAACTTTTTGGAGCACAGGAGACGTCAACGTCAATGCTCAACCTGATATATACTGATCAGATAGTATTTCTCAAACTTTGAAATACTCCCTTGTAATTCCAGCCTTTTATTTTCTGACAAACAATTCTTTTATAGTATTCGCGAGACTGTCGGGCAGACACTCATTAAGTTTTGTGTCAGTTTTTATTTTTGAAAGGTGAAAGTATAATAGCAAAGGTAGAGAGTGGGCAGAAGATGTCTGATGTTGCTGGGCAGTATGGCTTGAAAAAAACTACAGTAGAGGGCAGTTCAATCTTATCTAAGAAAGATACAGTATAATCAAGAAGACTCATGCAGCCAAAGGAGTAACAAAAATTACTTCTGAGAAATAAAGAACATTGAAGAGCTCATAATGGAACCTGAAACTGATCTGATGACAGAAGAACGCCAAGAACTCTTAAATGAAGAACACCAAGAAACTTGGCAAGATATGTTTTATTATGAAAAAGAGGATTAATGCCGATATCTGCTATTAATTAAAGATCTTTTGAAGTGGGGGATGTCAGATCAACGGTCTTAGAATGGCATACAAACTAGTGATGTGCCGGATCGTTAAAAATGTATATCCGCGGATATGGATACGGATCTCAACTTTCGTACTCAGTTGGCGCCAGTGCATGTGACCTTGGACTGATAGTTGATGCTTTGCATTAGTAACGCGACATGTTTTGACTTGCACTGCGCATGTTTTTGTTTATAGTTTAGTGTGACACGGAATAGAATAGATTACGTTTGTATTTTTGGAGTGTTGAATTAAATTAAAATAAAAACAATGTCGACAAAAAAATTTAGTAGTGTAATATGGAAATATTTTATGATAGTAAATTAATTTTGCATGATAAAATTTTTGCAATGTGAATGTGCCAAATATGTGATTTTAAGAAATAAAAAGTGATTTGAATTGAAGTTATTAGTATTTTATTGCTACCTATCTTTAAAATTTCATATAAGTAATGAAATTCATTAAAATAAAAGATCCGTTAAAGATCCGCTAAAAAGTAACGGATACGGATACAAATTTTTTTTTCCCCTCAGATATCCGCAAATACAGATACGGATATCCGGCACATATATCACTAATACAAACCAGGTTGAGGTTATTAGGCTTGGGGATCTCTACAATTACAATGCTATTAATTCTGAAAATCCTGAAGAAGAGAGAAATGCAATCAACATTAGACAGATTATTTAACCCCCACAAACAAAAAAACATAACTAATAAAAATGCAAGTCTGTGTATATATGTATATTTATTATTACATATAAATAAACGTAGTAAGAAAGTATATATTTTTTTATTTTTTGGGGTCTCCAGATGAATTAATCAAATTCCCATACAAACTTATGGTAAATCAATAATTGGTTAACGAACAATTCAGATAGCAAACAAAGTCTTGGAATGGATTATGTTTGTTAACCAATCACCCAGTTGTATTTGACTGGGTAAACTGTAACGTGACTTCTGGTTTGTACCAGAAGTCACACACAATAATACACATTTGATTTTTTAAAAATAAGATTAGAATTTTGATTTTTATAATTTATATCTTTAAATAAAATAATTTATACAATAATTTTATTTACAGAACAAATATAAGATGATAAATTTTCTTAATAGATAATCACTAAAAATATTGTAAAATTACTGTTTTGAATATTAATTCTTTTTGTCTATATGTCCTTACTTTATTGATTTATTTTTTGTATATTCGTCTACATTGGACTTTGTTGATTAATAGGACTTATTATACTGGTATTGTTTCTGTTTAGCAAATAGAAAAGATCTTATTCAAAAATCAAAACAAAAAATCAGATGAAAATAAAGTAGTGATGTAACGAATATTCGGTTACTATTTGGTATTTGGCCTATTTTTCGTTATTCGGCCAAATACCAAATATTTAATCACTATTCAGCCAAATACCTAAAAACAGGAGTAAGAAATAACAAAAACACAGTAAATTAATCATTTTGGTATTTAGATTTAATGTTATTAAGTTAGTGTTGTTCGTTTATATTTATTTATAACTTATAACATGCACAAAATAAAAAAGAACATAATATTAGTCACTTGTATTCACAATTTATAATTACAAAGATCAGCACACGTACACACCTATTCATTCGAGAATTGTCGCACATCTGAGGGTCTGACCCTGCCTATCCTTCTTTTTAAGCACTCATCTTTGCTCTTCCCTTTCTCTTTCCTTTATTGCTCTAGTCCACGTATGCCTATGCATACATCATAATACGAGCTCACGATCCTTTTGATTCATCACTTTTCCATCGTAGATTTCCCATTTTACAATTACGTGACTCATAGCCTGGTGATAACAGAGAAAAGAGACAGATAGGACATCGGTATAAGTCACAGTTATGATTTCATAGATTCGAGACAGTTTGGTAGCCCGAACGGCCCCAGGCTTTCGCCCATGCATGCTAAGTGACTTTCATTACAAGCATTTAGCTTTCCGAAGTTTATGACAATAATTGTTTGGCATTGACAACTGCAAATTTTACACCAATAAGCTGCCTCCACTTGTTTGATTATGTTATCAACTCAATTTCATATTTATTTTCACATTTTCACTTTGCGGTCCTTCTCTGTTCTTTTTCCTTTATTTATATGTGTAGGTCATTTCATTGTTATTCACATTTGATATCATCATTTATCACATACTGCCATGACGCTCTCGTCTGTCCGCTACAACTGACAAGAATTAATGCGATTGCAAAGCGTAGTGACAGCGGGCCAATAGAGAGCAGGGATCTTGCCATAATGCAGTTTGCGTGCCAATTTTTGTACTTGCGTTAATCAAGCCGAATATTCAACTATTCGGCCACGCTCCTGGCCGAATATTCGGTATTTGGCCTGAGGCCGAATATACTGTTCGTTGCAACACTAAAATAAAGATATTTTGTTTTGATTTTTCTGAATAAGATTTCCTCTATTCACTGAATGGAAACTACACCAGTGTAATAAGTCCTATTACTGTTTTGAAATCTGGTTGATAATATTATATTATAGTTAGATGTGATTGGGCTGCAATTTACAAATTGCAGACCTACACATTCCTGTTGTCCATCTATCAGTCAGCCTGTCTGCTCTTCATTAATCTCAAAAACAGGATTAAATAGATGAAAATTGAGACCGAATGTGGAAAGCTTAGGGGCCAGAGACCCCAATTAACTACATACAAATTTCAGGTCTGGACTGGAAGTCATGTTATTTCAATTCAAAATTTTCTTGAGAATGGAGCTAATTAGATATGTGACCAGAATGATTTGATTGTTATCAGCAGAAGCATGATTTACAGGGGCAAGATACCACTAAAATTGAGATCACATATGGAAAGCTTGAGGGTGGAGAAACCAATTAACTATATGTAAATTTCTGGTCTGGACTGGAAGTCATGTAATTTCTGAAAATTAAATGGAGATTAAAAATTGCAACTTGGCATATTGGAAATAATTGCTCATTAGATATTTAAAATTGCATTGTAAACTTTTTAAAAGTAAAGCAAAACTTTAAAATGATAAATTATTCATAAATCCAATATATATGAAGTGTGTCATTCCAAAGCATATCTTATTCAATTTTGCATAATTTTCAGTATTTGATAGTCTTTTACAAATTTAAACTTTACAATGCTAACCTTAATTTATAAATCAACATGTAGAATGCTATAATACTGTTTTTGAACAATAAGAACATTTTATTATGATAGTTCTTTATATTAGTAATTGGATAGCACAGATGATTAAAAAATTTTAAAAAGTTGATAAGACACAGTTTGGAGTGACATGCCTCAAATATGGAATTTATCACAAACATACCTTAACAGCTACTTCCTCTCCATTAAAAGTAATTGCTCTATAAACTTGAGCCAAACTTGCAGCAGCAATAGGGTGTATATCAAATTCGGAAAATATTTCTTCAGGTGGTTTTCCAAACTCTTCAATAAACAACTCTCGCAACTGAAAAATTTAATTTAATTCTTTAAACATGAAATTGGACAAAATTTGGATTAATCCATTTGAGATAAAATCTGTAAAAAGAAAAGTTCCCATTGTAACCTCAAAAGTAAAAACATTTTTGTGTCCAAGGACATAAATACAGGGTGTCCACAGTCTAGGTACATAAAGATTAACACATACTTTTAAAACAAAATAATTTTATTTGATTCTAATATTAATAAATAACATTTTCAATATGATTTCCATCATTTTCAATACATAATTTGATGTGCCATAATTTGTGGACACCATTACCAATCAGTGTGCTGAAATCGACGGCAATACAGACCTATTTAATTGAGTTCACCAGAATTTTGCAAGGCGCATCAAATTATGTATTGAAAATGATGGAAATCATATTGAAAATGTTATTTATTAATATTAGAATCAAATAAAATTATTTTGTTTTAAAAGTATGTGTTAATCCTTATGTACCCAGACTTTGTGGACACCCTGTAGAACAAATTTTCAGAGTGTTAAGAGATTTAAAATTCACAGACTACTGCTATTCATTAATATTTTTACATAAATCATTTTATTAAGTTACGACATAAAGTTATTTGATGCCTAATATCAATCTAATTTCTGAACTTTCAGTTATCTATAAAAAAAACCAATAAAATTTTAATTCTAAATTATAATTAATTTTTTAAACTAACTATTATTTTTATTAAACAAAAACATAATACCTCATCAGGTTTTCTTTCTAAAGCTTTATTATGTAAAACAGATAGTGTTTCAGTATATTCAATAGGCAAAATATGATTAAGAGTCACTAAACTTTGTCCTAATTTTATATATAAACCTCCATTTTTTAAGCAACCAACCAGAATATTTTCAGCTCCTCTTTTATGACATAGTTTTATAGTTTTAATATATTCTTCAGATTCCTGTAAGTATACATTAGAGGAAATATTATTATTTAATTTAATCAATAATCTAATCTAATCATTGTTTTTCATAGATTATCAATGGTTTAAAATATATTAATAATTAAAACAGAATATTTTTAATAAAAACTTAAAATTAATAATTAATATAATAAAATTCATAATCTGAATATTCTGCTATATTTTTTAAAAATCTTGATAATAAAAACTCATTGCCATAAAAATTAGCATATCAAGAAAAAGTTGTCATATCTCAAAACTTGGCATGCAGATAAGTCCCAAGTAGATGTGGAAATGATTAGAATTATAGCATGGTGGCTCATTGTGTAATGCCAGCAGAGGGCTTTAAAGTGCATCCACCTTGACCTACAAAAAATGCATGCAAAGGCATCCATCCTGTCTGTAGTTTACCTCTTTCAGAAGGACACTGTATCACTAGAGATGCCTTTACATTGAATCAAAAATCATATAAACAACTGACAGAGTTTGAGAGGGGAAGGATCATTGGGATGAGAGAGATACCAGATGGTCATCTTGCCAAATAGCCCGCCACCTAGGCCGTTCTTACAACACTGTTAGGACCAGTGGATGAGAGAGAGCTTACACACACACTGACAAGAGCACCCAGGCTCAGGATGACCTCAGCAGACCACTAGCTGAGAGGACTGCTGGTACTCTGACAAGCGTGCACACAGCTGACCATATCATTGTCCACCATTCGGACACAGGTGGTGACATCATTACAGATCCCTGTGTCTTTCTGTACCATTTCAAGGTGCCTGGGTGAGAAACATTTGGCAATGCAATGGCCATTAAGTGTGCTGCTATTGGTGCCACCCACCATTGTCACCGTTTGGAGTGATGTCACTCCCAATGGGATTAGATTGCAACAGAATGGAACCAGGTCATTTACAGTGATGAATCCAGATTCATTTTGGGCACTGATGACTGTTGTGTTCATGTCTGGAGGCTCTGTGGTGAATGCCTCGATCGAGGCATTCACCACAGAGCATTCCTATGCTTTGGAGTGGCACATCATCCCCACAGTTTGTATGATAACCTGGGTGCCATCATGTACAACAGCCAGTCATCTCTAGTAGTGATCCAAGGGACCATGACAGCCCAGCGGTATCTGCAACCACATGTGTTGCCTCTCATGGCAGGGACACCAAGTGAGACAGCTTAAGAGTTTGACCAAACTAGAGGACCGCTTGCAACAACAGTAAACCGAGATGCTGCAGGACACCCTATGACATCTGTATGCCTCCATGCCAGCCCATATCGCATCATGTATTCACACTAGAGATGGCCCAATAGGGTACTAGAACATTCTTTCATTTGTAATTTTTCCTGCAATAAATGATCCTTTTGCTTTCATTTTGTAATCACTTACTTATATCACCATTACAATTTTGTTCAACTCCTTCTTGGTGTGCTAATTTTTATGGCAATGAGCATATATACAAGTATTTATTGTGAATATATGGATTATAATATAATATTATATATGATAACAAAACAGAAGTTACAGCAGAGAATATGAGTATACACTGAATGATATTGCTTGTTACAATAATGTATACAGAAAAAATAAGAGAGCTGCAAGTTTTTGCAAATCTCACTAGATATGACTATTTATTTCATGTCTAGGATTGAGTGGTGAATTAAATTTTCTGCAAATTGGCTTTGGAGTATAAAATAAGAAAAAAACATTTTTTTCAAAGGACAGAGGTGATGGTGAAGAATGAATAACGAATAACAAGTGAAAGACAGAAGGCAAGAGACAAAAAGAAAAATGTAGAGGGAAAACATTTCCTTCCATTTACTAACTTGGTTTAAGAAAATGTTGAGCAAGAAATAACAAAAAAGCAATAAAAGAGAGATTGTGTATAAAAAAATAACAGACTTTACATATTCATAAAATACAAATTTGGCTTTGCATCTTAATTTTAACAAAAATGCTTCTTCAATGGCAAAATAATTCCAAATGACAAACTCAAAACAAACTCATCAATTCTTTCTTTAAAGGCACTTGGCAGAACTGAAATTTTTATTCTTCATGTCTCTAACCTTTCATTGGAATAAATTAAGAATTGTTTAGTACACAAATTCAGTGTCATCAGATTTGAATTTTATGATTTGTAAATTTCACTGTGGCAGTTCTGACAGAAGTGAAAGGAAAACTAAAAACTAACTCTGCCAATACCTACAAAGAAAGATCTGATGTGAGTATATGTTTACATTATTGTTTGGAAATATTTTGTTATTAAAGCAATGTATTTTTATGTTGTTTTCTGATTATTTTAATTAAATTGTGAAGAAACCAAATTTGTGTTTTAATAATGCTTACATTAATTATTTTCTTCTTTTACTGTTGTAATGATTTATGTAGGTTATTTATAACTTGTTGATATTTTCAAGATATTGAATTTGTTTTAAACAATTTTTTTTTGACTAAATAATATTTTTTAGCAAGTGTTCAAGTCAAAATAGAATATATCAACAACTTTTATGTTAAACATGATGAGAAATGTTTACTTTAGTTGTTTTTGAATTTTTAAGTTATGCTATTTGTGAATTTTATCACTTGATGCTAGACTTTCTGAAAGTACTAAGAAAATTGTATTAATTTCTTCTTTCACTCCAATAGTCTTTGCACATGTGGCAACGTGGATAGCCTAATTGCATCCAGTTGTGGTATTTCTGCGGTCTTTGAACCTTCTTATTGCTGAAAGTAAATGATGACACTCAGAAATTTCTGACACCAAGCAGGTTATGCCTACTAATGAATCTTTTGAGCATTTTTGTAGATGCAATAATGCAGTCTTGTATATGAGTCTAGCAGTAAGATGATGATAAACGGGTGACAGCTGACTAAAATTGGCCATTCTCCATCATATTCAAAGATGCGAATTCCTCAGAGGTAACTAAAAATCAAGGGAAAGGCATCATGAGGTGTCACTATCAACTCTGAAAAAGTGTAAGTTGACACCCCTCAGAAAATTGACATATACTAGCTTCTGGTGAGATCATTGTGTTGTTTTCCTTTATCTTGTTTGATTTCACTAATGTTTGAAATTTTTTCATTAAAAAGCTGATAATTTGTTTACTCTTTATTTAAACTGTAAGTTATTAATGAAACATATATAAACTTTCATTTAAGTTTTCCATATTTATCTAGAAATTGAAAATGGCATCTCTATCTATAAAGGTCATTCTATCTTTTCTTATGGTTTTTTTATTACACTTTTAACAATACTTTATATTAAAGTGTATACAATTATATATACGTCTGATCAAAAAGTACAAAAAGTTTTTTTTTCCTAACCTCAGGTTAGGAAAAAACAACCCCTATGTATCTATTAAGGGTTTGAAAAAACATCTATGAATCTATTAGATTCAAACAGTAGTGTCCTTCTGAGTTTACACACTTTTCCCAGTGATGCTTCTAATATTGGAAGCATTTTTTCAAAGTCTTTGTCACATTAGTCTTGATCACTTATGTCCTGAATTCTATTTCCTTTGAGTGGCTTTTTGAGATTGGGAAAGAGCCAAAAAGTCAGCCAAAGCCATGTCTGGGGAATAAGAAGGCTGTGCAATACTGTGTTTTGCAAGATGTATCTGGATGAGTTATTATCCTTAGGCCAGAGCATTGTCATGATGAATTAACCAGTTGCTTGAATGGTCTCTTGAACCTAACACCATCTCATAGGCGACATAAAACAATCAGGTATTACTCCTTTGTCACAGTTTGTCTATGAGGAGTGTATTCGTGATGAACTACACCTTGGTGGTTGAAAAAATGGTCAAAATGACCTTCACATTGCTGCATGATTACTGTGCTTTTTTGACCATAGAGGACATGACACTTTCCACTGGAAAGATTGTGCCTTTGTCTCAAGATTATACCTGTAGACCCAGGTCTTATGTTTGATTATAATCTTCATGAAATCAGGACCCATCATATTCCACCATTTTCACTTAATCACTAATGTGACAACTGTATAAATAAGCAACTGTCATGGCTAACTGATAGTGATTGCAGAATAGGACAGGCTCACTAAAATTAACACACTTATTAGAGTCTAATGTCAGATAACAACATTGTCTCCTCCTAATCTTGCAAATACTTGCAAAGAAAAAAATAAGGTTGATACTTTTTGGTCAGACCTTGTAAATTATTTTGATAAATAATACATTAAATATTTTAAATCATATAATTTGGAAAAAAAGAATTATGATAGCTGCTAAAACAACATTAACAGCAGAAAATTGATTAGAATTATTTTTTATTTACAATTATTATTCTAAAATCATTAAATATTAAGTTAATGTAGATGTTTTTTTTAATATTCTTTAATACTAAATTTCAAGATATTAAATCTATTGTATTCACACTAGAGATGGCCCAATAGGGTACTAGAACATTCTTTCATTTGTAATTTTTCCTGCAATAAATGATCCTTTTGCTTTCATTTTGTAATCACTTACTTATATCACCATTACAATTTTGTTCAACTCCTTCTTGGTGTGCTAATTTTTATGGCAATGAGCATATATACAAGTATTTATTGTGAATATATGGATTATAATATAATATTATATATGATAACAAAACAGAAGTTACAGCAGAGAATATGAGTATACACTGAATGATATTGCTTGTTACAATAATGTATACAGAAAAAATAAGAGAGCTGCAAGTTTTTGCAAATCTCACTAGATATGACTATTTATTTCATGTCTAGGATTGAGTGGTGAATTAAATTTTCTGCAAATTGGCTTTGGAGTATAAAATAAGAAAAAAACATTTTTTTCAAAGGACAGAGGTGATGGTGAAGAATGAATAACGAATAACAAGTGAAAGACAGAAGGCAAGAGACAAAAAGAAAAATGTAGAGGGAAAACATTTCCTTCCATTTACTAACTTGGTTTAAGAAAATGTTGAGCAAGAAATAACAAAAAAGCAATAAAAGAGAGATTGTGTATAAAAAAATAACAGACTTTACATATTCATAAAATACAAATTTGGCTTTGCATCTTNGTTGAAAGTTGAAATTTGCTACACAGTTAGGGTACTTCATGAGAACGCACACTAAGAAGGGATTTTTCGAAATTCCTCCTCACAGGGGAGAGAGACAGGATTAATGCTTAACAGTTCCATCAACAATGGAAGTGTCAAGTAACAATGGAAGTGTTACATAACAATGGAATTGTTAAGAGAAAGCGACGTGCAAGACGCAGATGCAGTTTTTTCGTTTTTGCGGGAAACCGAACATATTTTTAGACCCATTTAAAAATTCTCTAATTAGTCCAAAAACAAGGAGGACCCAATTCTTGCATTCTGTGAAAATGGGTAAGGTTGACCATAATGTAATAATCTTAATCTTCACTATCGTTACTTTCGCCCGAGCAACGCCGGGCCAACCTGCTAGTATATATATAAAAATGGACATGTATGTCCCTATATTTCACTTTTCCACCAAAACTACACATCACACGTGAATGGTGTTTGTATGTGGTAGTATCCCCAAGTCTCCATTCGTGCACCAGGGTGGTCGCGTCTTGATAGGTATAAGGGTGCAGGAGATATGGGCTTGAAAGTGGTTGAAAGTGGCTTTCTATTTCAAATGTTTTGTTCGAATTAAATTCGAACATAAAATTCGAATATTGGTTCGATTATAGAACGATTGTAAACGTTCCAGAAACGTTGAAAATAGTTCGTTTGACTAAACGTAAAAATTCTCTAATTAGTCTGGAAACGGGGGACCTAATTCTTGCATTCTGTGAAAACGGGTAAGATTAGCTATAATGTAATTATCTTAATCTTCACTATCGTTACTTTTTGCCCAGCGAAGCGGGTCCTTGCAGCTAGATTCTAGATTACTTAGAAAAACAGTCTTTTATATATAAAAAAAACTATATTACATACAAATGTACGAACAAATAAAAACCCAGCGAAGTGGGTCCTTGCAGCTAGTATATATATAAAAATGGACGTGCGTGTGCCTATATTTCACACTGCAGCCAAAACTACACATCGCACATGAATGGTGTTTGTGTGTGGTAATAGCCCCAAGTCTCCCATCGTGCACTATGGTGATTGCGTCTCGATAGCTGTAAAGGTGTGGGAGATATGGGGGTTGAAAGTGGTTGACTTCAAAAATGTGTAACAATGGAAGTGTCAACAATGGTAGTGTTAACAATGAAAGTGTTAAGAATGGAAATGTTAACAATAGAAGTGTTGAGTAACAAAGGAAGTGTTAAGATAAAGTAGCATGCAAGATTTACAGGCGCAGATGCAGTTTTTTGCGTTTTTGCGGGAAATCTAACATATTTTTAGACTCATAAAAATTCTCTAATTAATCTGGAAATGAGAAACTTAATTTGTGCATTCTGTGAAAACGGGTAAGATTGGCTATAATGTAATCTTAATCTTAATCTTAAATGTTTTCGAATAGTCGAAAATGTTTTGGAATAGTCAAAGACTGTTATGTGGGAATGACTTTTGGAGACGTGTGACGCTTGTGCTTCAGTTGATTTTTCATAAATAAAAGTGTACAAATAATAGAAAAAAGTAGAAAATGAAAATTGAACAGTGAAATGTGAAAAGTAAAAATATACAAAACAATGCCAAAGCATAAGAAAGAATTTTTGCGGTCTTGAATCATATTTCAAAGGCAAAAGATGGTGCAGAGAAATGAAACCACAAAAGAAAGAGAAGTACATCTAACATTGCTATGAGAAAATTATCAACGAAGCAGAAATAATCAGACAGAAAAGCAACTTGAAAATTATAGGGAAAAACATTGAATCAGAGAAAGATTATGTACAGAAAGATAAACAGTCTTTTATATAAAAAGAAAAAAAAAACTATCTTACATATAAATGTACGAATAAATAAAAGCCCAGCGAAGCGGGTACTTGCAGTTAGTATATATATAAAAATGGACGTGTTTGTCCCTATATTTCACTCTGCAGCCAAAACTACGATCTGACGTATATCGATACGTCGGCCCATATCGATATACGTATATAAATCGTATCCATTTATATTGATAATTCTTACATATCTAAATACATATGTAAGAATTATTGATTCTTACATATGTATTTAGATATCTACACCACTTATCAATTTTCAATCCTTCATTATCATTAATTCTAGTATTTAATTTAATTATTTCTAAATGTTTGTAAAATCAACATTTTATTGCATTTCTTTCATTTTTTATAATTATGATAGTATTTTACAATTTTACAACCTTTGGAATTACATTGCTGAGCTATTGCTGAACTTATTTGATCTTATATGTTCTCTAATTTGAATATCTAATTGTCTACTTGTTTCACCTATGTATGTTTTGGTTCTTTACAACTGCAATTAAATTTTTAAAACTACTACTTTATTCAAATTATTTTCACATATTTTATTACTACTATATCTTAAATTTTTTGAATAGTATTATCATGCTCTGGTATTATTTGTATTTTCTTAATTTTTTTTAATTTTTTCAATAAGACATTTTATATATGGAAATTAAATCTTTTTTTACAACCAATCAGTTTTTCTTTTTTAATTTTTATACTTGTAATTTCATTTAATCATTTTTGTATTATATACTTGGAATTATAATTTAACGAATAAGTTTTAATAATGATGCATGTTTTCTACAAAATACCTATTATTTAGTTTATCTTTTCACAGTTGCCACATTTGTGAAGTTCTCAATGAAGAAAAACCCAGTAAATGATCCTGCAACCTGCCAATCGATTACTAAGTTATCAGCCCAAGATTAAATTATTTTATTTTCATAATGTAAACAAAGATCTAATAATATATATTTTCTTTTTTATGACAAGTATAAAACAAACTTTATTTTCATATATAAATTTTGCTTTTTGTGTTATTACATATTGTAATAAAAAAATATCAAAGTCCAAGCAGCATTAAGCAGTTAACCACTGGTGCCATTATCCAGAACATGTAACACCAAATGCTTTATGTATTTACAAGGTCTGTTCAAAAAGTATCGGACCTTTATTTTTTTCGCATAAACCAATGATGCGCGAGAGGCCTCCTTCGGTGGAGTTGTGGAGGGGAAGTCATGCACAGCCCTGAATTTTTTCCCGCCTGCAGGAAGCGTCAGTCGTTGGCAATCGGCCTATGAGTGAGGTCATGTAGTGCGCTTTCGTCGGATTCCACTAAGGTGGAAAATGACTGAACAGCGTGAGCAGCGATATTACATGAAATTTTGCCAAAAACCATGGCGATACCCGAGTGTAAACCATTCGCAAGATTCAGCAGGCTTTCGGGGACGATCCTCGAGGCCAAAAAAAGCGCGGCAGGTCCGCAGCAATATCAAAGGTCATGTTGACAGTTTTTTCGACTTTCGTGGGGTGGTGTGTCGTGAGTACGCACCATGAGGCCAAACCATCGCAAAGGAGTACTACCAGGAGGTCCTTCGTCGTCTTTCCGATACAGTGCGACGCAAATGACCGTATCTGTAGTTGATCAAAACTTGGCAGCTCCATCGTGATAACGCATCCGCCCATTCTGCGCATCTGTTTCGGGCTTTCGTCGCCAAACACAATACTCCTGTGGGTCGTCATGCTCCGTACTCTCCCCACATGGCTCCGTGGGACCTTTGGCTATTTCCCAAGCTGAAAATGCCGCTAAAAGGAACCCGAATTTAGTCGAGAGAAGACATCGTGCGGAATGCGACGGACCGGCTGATGGCCATTCCAAAAGATGCGTTCCAGCAGTGTTTCCAGCAATGGCAGGAACACTGGGAGAAGTATATACATTACCAAGGAGACTACTTTGAAGGAGATTAGGGTTTTGTACCTCAAAGTCAATAAATTTATTTTTGCCGACCAAAGGTCCGATACTTTTTGAACAGACCTTGTATGTTATTTCCTTAGGAGTATTGTACACGAGTATTTACTGTACAAGCACAAAAAAAAGGACAACTCCAGTAAAGAAGAAGAGCATGCTTGTAGATTTGATTATTAATTTATTTAATAATGCTTAAAAATCAGTGCAACCCAGAAAAATTATCATAAGACCCAAAGTCTGGCGATGAAGTGTAAAAACAGGAGGGGTAGTCACCCTAATTGTGAGAAAGCATAGAATAAACGAGTATTTTATTTCTTAATTTAAAACAGTTTTAAATACCTGCAAAATCTTGTAAATCCTTCAATCGAAGTACGAACATTACGTTTTTGTACGGAAGTTAACATAAAATGATAATAGAGCAAAGGTATTGATACCAATCCTCCTGTTATTATATATTTTGACTTCCATCTTGAATTACTTTTTAAATGAGTTTTGGTAAAATTCCTCTGAGTAAAATTTTCGAAGTAAATACGAAATGAATTCTTAAAAAGTTGAATTCTTGCAAATTTATTACTGTATAGATACATGGATATGAACGTGACTTTCACTCGTGTAAAACATGTGATAACTTCAACGAAAACATGTTATATGCTGCCCTCTGGAAAATAAAAATTTAATCGAATTGAACCTAATACGGGTTTTCTAATCTGACTTTTTACAAGTTAAAATTGTGAATTTCTATATTATGTAACGTAATCCATGCTAACCGCAGGTTGGCATTAGTTTATTGAATCCATTAACAATACCAACATGAATATAATGTACCAGTATATATACAAAATATTATTCAATGGTGAGTTGGATGGACGCAAGGACTTTAAACTACAAGGATAGCCAGATCCCGTATATTTGTTAGCGTGACCTTGACTCTATGTGACGTCACAGCAAGCCCTCTACTTCAACACGACAGATCTTTCAAATAACAAAATACGATAAAATATTAAATCATTTCTTAATTAATTATTAAATTACTACTAAATGTAAACTACTGTAGAATTTTCGGATTTAATAAGTGTACTGTACGTCNCAAACGAAAAATTCTCTACAATTCTACGCAATAAAAATAAACTGGTTTTTCAAAAAAGAAGAAAAAATGATTTTAATTAAAAAAAACCATAAAAAACTCGTACTCTTTGTATATTATTCGGCTCTCGGTTTCCATTTTGCGCTTTTCTTCCACCACAAAACCGCCAAGTTAAAAGGACAAGAATTTCGCTTTTCGAAAAATTGCCATTTAAATTTTTCCAACAAGGATTTCATCAACTTAATTAAATGGTAAAAAGGCAAAACGTTTGCGCAGTTTTGTTTAAAATTATGTTTACATTGATTATTAAGGTCCCGGTGCCCGGCGGCAATTAGTAATTATATATACGGCGATAACTCGCTTTTCGTCCGTATTCCGTTCGTAAACAATCGGCCAAATCCCGGGCAATTATTTCCGTACGAATCCAATTTATTCGTTGTAGACACTCCAAAATACATTTTATTGAGAACAAATATAGCGTTTAATACTAAAAACGATAAGTAATGAATATAAAAGACAAAAGAATAAATGAAGATTTAACATTTTATTTAACGCTCGTACTTAGTAAGTGGTTTTAAAATACGAGGAAGCCAACGGATGCATTCTGTCCGTCTTCGACCAAAGCCAACTGCTATCACCTACTGTTGTAAATCCGAAGTGTTTGACAATGCAATTTTCCTATTTGTTTAAAAAGTTTTTCCTAAGAAGCTAACCAACAGTGATAAATGTATATTACGATTGTTAACTCGTGTAATTTTTATACTTGAATTTGACCGTGTTAAACTTTGATTCTTTGTACTTATTATTCGATTTGGTATTTTCTCTATCTTACACTACGTATTCGGCGGTCGGGATCGAACTCCGGAAGGGTCCGAAAATCTCCGGCAATTTTCCGGGCTTTGGCCCGTCCCTCGCCACTCGGCCGCCCCGTTGCGGGCCTGGCTAAAACGCTTTCGACTGCGGGCAGCCCGGCGCTACGTGCCGTTACGGTAATAATATACCGCGTCTGTGTTAAAACCATGGTTTTTGTAAGATACTAACAGACCCGGTCACGCGTTATTGTGGCTCAAAATGTGTCTATTATAAATGTATAACACTTCCCCCGTGGGGGGATAATTTTTCGAAAAATCCCTTCTTAGTACCCTGTTAAAACGCGATCAAAAACGCAAAAGACCGCATGTAAAATAGTATAAATAGAAGCGGAGTTCTTTACGCTAAGCCTTAATCCCGTCCATCTCCCCCAGTGGGGGAAATTTCGACACATATTATATAAAAACGCGCGTATTCGAATGCGGCGTTGTGTGAAAATTTGAAAGGAATCGGTAGGAACAAACGAACGTTACATTTTTATTCATATGGATAGATAGAAGGTAAACTGCTTTAGTTCATCCTGGCAGAAAAGCAAACTTAGGGCGTCGTACTCGTAGCGCCATCTGTTGGACATGAAAGCCTTAAACCTAGATGACATATTTTAATTTATACGAATGTTTAACGGAATAATGTACAGCCTACGTCCACCCGGAAGTTCCATTCTAAAATATTGGTGAAAGAATTTTTGAAATCGGACGAGTAGTTTCGGAGATTACCCGCTGCATACAAACTTACAAACATTACCTCTTCGTAATATTAGTATAGATATACAGTAGAGCGTCATTTATCCGAAAGAATTCCAGTCGGCAAATTTAAATTTTCGCTGGTGCTGTGGCGCCGCAATCTTCGGCTATTTCTCGGGCTACTCAAATATTTTACGTTTTTGATACTAAATTAACTTCTAAAGTATATTTTTTTATTGTTTTTATATTTTTCAATAAATTTATTTTGTTTGTAGAAAATAAAAAAATAATTTTTAACGATACAATAGTCTTCGTTAGGCTTAACATCGACGAAAATTCAACGCGCAGCGACACGCAACGGAGAGAAATTTCAACACGGGATAAATTAATATATTTTTCGTACATGAATCGTTATCCGAAAAATAAGTTATCCGAACCACCCCAGTCTGCAATTGATTCGGATAAATGACGCTCTACTGTATTTAGTTTATCATTTTGTTAACCTTTTGCCAACAGATGGCGCTACGCGTGACTTAGGAAATGAAAAGTAGACAGAAAATAATTGATATTTTGAGGCCGAGCTGGGTGGCCATGGCTCGAACGACCTAGGGGTGTACAGCGAACAAACAAACATCCCGATTAATGTCGGGCAGATTTGATACAGAAAAGGAAACCAATCACACTTATATTAATGTATTATCTTTATATTTTGCTCTTGTACCCTCTCTGCATTTTACTTACTATGTTTGTCTGTGTTATTATTTTCTCTCACATATTGTACGTACTTATTGAATTTGACTATTGTAAACAATCCCTGATTATGCATTCCGATATCAGGGGATATAACTCATGTTACGTTATTAAAGATTAATGAATGAAAAAAGACAAGGAAACCGGTACAATTGTACACCGTGTTGCGCGCGCAGATAATCCCAACCTAGTAGAATTTCGTCTCCGAAAGAAGAGGCGCGAGATTAGTGACGGGGAATAATTCAAACTCGTCTTCCTATTATAATTTAGCGGCGAATTTCGAAGGAGAGGAGAGGGTGATGCCATTTGGTGGAAAGCAGGGCTGTGGACTGGCCTAAAAATATACCGACTCCGACTCCGGCTAAAACACCAAAACTCCACGACTCCACAGCCCTGGTGGAAAAGACAAAAAGCAATCTTTCGGCAAATTTTCTTCTTTACCGAAAGATCTCCGGGCGGCAACCGGCTTCTTTCTCCGCACTCGACAACCAAATCTTTCTCTTCCCGACTAAATTTCCGTCTCTACTCCAATATTCTCTCGCGCCGTTTCCCCACAAATTGCCGCCTCGGCCCGATTTTCTCATCCCACCGCACCATTTAAAAGAGGAAATTACACCGTGGCCGACGAGCTTTCGGCGGCCGCCGGGCCCGGTGAGATTTCGCCCGGCTGGGCCTTTCTCCGGCCGCTCATTTCCAGCGGCAGCCGGAACCGACGGGGCCCCGCCCGGTTTCCGGGAAGGGCCGATCCCGCCGGCCCCAGGCCACGGGACTTTCCCCGCTCGGGCGCCCGCTTTTTATTTCGGGCGCTTGTGTTAGAAAACAGAAAAGGAAACGAAAGGCGAAGGCCTCCGCCGGAAGAGAGGGAGGGACAGAGTCGAAGGAGAGGTGGACGGGAGTTTATTTGGTAAAGTTTTATACTGCGGACGCATTATAATTGGAAATTTCTGGTGCGTTCGTTTGTACCGACGATCGAGCGATAACCGCTTGCAGGGGACTTCCGAAAAAGGAGAGAGAGAGAGAGTAAAAATTCCCAGAAAAATGCGGGGGTAATCGACCAACGCCCCTAAGAATCGGCCGACCGGGAAGGGGAAGTTTCCCGCCGCCGTCGGCGGACGGGCGCCGACCCGGACCGGCGGCGCGGCGCAGACGTTCGTCGCCAGGTGGCCAGGCCGAGGTGGTCCGGAGGAGTGGAGAGCGTCGGGACGGATTCCGCCGGAAGCGGCGGGGGATGTGGACGCGCTGCCTTCTTCTGCTGTGTCTGTGGGCCGCCCGCGCCCATCGCCGAGACCCGGGTGAGTACCTTTTGTCTTCCTCCATGGAATTCGGGCGGAGGGGAGGAAGGATCCGGCCTCTTTCCCCCCAAGGGTCCGGGAGACGAACGACTTTGTTGGGACGGGAGAGGTCGATTACGCCGAGTCGTCTTTCCCTAATTAGAAAGCGGGCGTTTTTTCGGACGCCCACTCGCCGCTTTTTGTCCTTTCCCGGAACGCGGACGGATGTAAGTCGATGCCTTCTTCCTCGGTCGTCGGGCCGGGAGACGGCCGGGAGGCCACGTCCGAGGTCGAACGCCACGACCTCGTCTTCCCGCCCGGGAGGAACTTCGGCCTCCTCTCCGGGTGCCGGCGCTTTTCTTCCGGCAGAAGACGCAGCGGCCGACAAGCGCTCGGATGCCGAGACCACCGCCTTTCTGTCCGCGGTACTTTTCGGGTCCGGAGCGGTCCCGGCCCCACTTTTCCGGGGAGTGCGACGTAATTGCCCGGTAAAAGTGCGGAAGGGCCCGGGCCCGGTGGAACTTCTTCCCTCGGCCTTTCTCGGGTCTCCCTCCGCGCGCCGGGCGGACCGCGCCACCGGTGCGGCGTTTTTCTTCCAGAGCGTCCCCGTCCGGGCTTGGAAGGAGCAAGAGGCGGAAGGCGCCTTTTCGGACCGTTTCGTTGCGAGAGAATTTCCAGAAGGCCGTCGGTAAATTATAAACGAGAGGTAAAAGGCCTTCGGACCGGGTTTTTCGTCTCCTTTCGGACTCGACTTTCGGCGGAAGCCATTTCTTCCGGAAGGGAAAATCCGGCGTCCCGGCCCCGTGTTTAATTATTTAGGTCCTGGTGGGGGTCGAAGTAATTAAATTCGACGCGGCGGAAACTTCCGGGCCGAAAGAGGAAGGAGCCGGACGGAAGTCGCCCGACGATTCGCACCCCGAGGCGGGCCGCCCGCCGCTCCCTTCCCGAAAAGTTCTTCCGTCTTTTCTACGCCCCAAAGGCCACCCGTTTCGGACCCCGATCCGAATTTTAACGGATTCCGCCCGTTTCTCGGGCCCGGGCCGCCGGATTTACACGGAAAGAACGATGCTCCCAGCCGACCGAAATCCGTTAATTTTAAATACTTTCCGCGGCTACCCGGAAAGGACGGGGGAGGGAGACGGCTGGGGGAAACCTAAAGCTACCGAATAGATTCCCGCGGGGAAGGTAAGGAAGCGCCGGATCCTTTTGCGGTTGGCCCGGGTAGGAAAACCGCCGATTCCATCTTCTTCACTCCGCGGTCGGGCCCCTTTCCCCGCCTTCCGCCGGAGACGGTGAAAACCCGTCCCGGCCCGCGGCCGCCCACCGCTCTTTTGTCCTCCTCCGCGCGGTATCTTCTAGTCTTTACCAACTGGCGGGTGGCGAATGTCCCCCCCCGCCGAATCCGAGGAATCGGATTCCACACTACGCCGCTTTCTAGGTCGTGTCCGATAGGTTAATAATTTGTAATGGGAACTTACCGTCGGCGCCGGTTTATTTGGCCACTTTTACGCCTTATCTTATAATATAATGGAATTAAAATTTGGTAGGCAGTTAGGGACGTGGCGAGAATGTACACAAAGGGACTTTCCGAAATCTCCCCCGCGGAGGAGAGGGAGAGAGTTAAGGATTTTACTATACTCTTTTATATGCGGTTTTTTGCGGAAAATCGAACGTTTTTAGACCCGTGTAAAATTTTTCAAACTAGTTTCGAAAGAGGGGAGAACTAATTGTCGCACCCGGTGCAAACGGGTAAGCTGGGCTGTGGTTACTTTTTGCCCGAGCAACGCCGGGCTCATCCGCTAGTCTTTTTAATAATGGAAGAAACCTTTCTTTTTTCCGGCCGACGTTTTTATCGGCTTATTTCGATTTTCGCGCGTGTTTACCGGCCCCGCGCCGCTAAAATGTCGGAAGGATCCGTTGCTCCTTCCGGGTTAAAGTCGAAGACGGAGGCGTTCCTTTCTCGGAAGGGAAGAGAAAGTAGGTCGAGGGGAGGACAATACGCGCTTCCCTTAACGGGGGAATTTTACCGCCCGTGGGTTTGGCCGTTCGGCCACGTTTTACGGTAAATAGACACGCGGTTTATAAATTGCGTACGTATTTATCTAGAAAAAATGGCAGAAAACAATAAAACCGGACGGAAGGTGAAGTTTATGGCAGTGGGAAGTTAGGCGCCGTCCCATTTATAAAAAAAATTGTAACTGTCAATAACCAATAAAATGGCGATTAAGTCGAACCGCTACCAGACGGAACTGGCTCCTTCCACCTTTAACCACCAAAATCTACTACAACGGCATCCACGCTCCTCGACGCGTCGAATTTCCTTTCTTCGTCTTTACCTCGTCCCGAGGTAAAGACGAAGAAAGTCGACGCTCACGCATATTTTATGCCCTTTTTTTAAAGCGGTTTCGTCGGCAGTTAAAATAAGACGGAGACAAAGGCATTTAAAAGCCGACCGCTTGCCCTTCTTCCAATTCCAGCCCGGTCTCGAATTAAACGAAATAAACGCGGGTACTGGCGGAAACTGCCGGAATGCGATTGGCATTTCCCGTGTATTACGACGAGAAGGAAGGAACGCTTACCGGAAGGAAGTTTCCAGCCACTAATCGTTTTCTTTTTCTTTCAGGTATCTGTAGATACGGCCATCTCTACTTCCGGGTGAGTCTCTTTCTTTCCCCTTTCTACTACCCCTTATGTACAGTAGAGCATCGATTATCCGACCGGGGTTGGTCGGATAACCGAAAAGTATGAAAAAATACATTATTAGCGTAGCGCGCGGGTGGCCGACAGTTTTCTCCCCGGGCCGGATTGGAAAGAAAACTTTTCTACTTCCCCAACCCGGGGCTGCCCTAGGAAGATTTCGAGGCGGTGCGAGATTTCGTGGCGGTGTCACCCCGTACACACTGAATCGTAGATAGAGATTACAGATACATTTTTCGCATCGTCGCGCTTTATCGACACTCTACGCTGTACTTACGAGATTTGTAATGGAGGGTTAACGCTAAACGCGCGGTGAGGTGTTGACCTTTTTTGTTTTAGGCGTCAGAATTTTTCATCGACCTGTTTTGAAATATTGATGGCGGGCAACGTAAATTCGTTAGCCATGCCTGGTATAGCTATTAACCGACTTGGCGTTGAATTTTCATCGACGTTAATCCTTTTTCTTAAATAATAATCGTGGCTATTGTATCGTTAAAAATTATTTTTAAATTATTTTATCGCTGACAGAACGAGCCACCGCTCGTAATTAGAAAATTAAGCCTGGTTTAAATACACGCGCGACTAAATATCCACATGGCACAAGGCGCCGATTGGTCAGCCGAATGACGTCAACCTACGAAAATCGGTAATGTCGAGTGACTAGCCTAAACTTCGTATTGTTGTTGTTGTTGTTGCGAGAGCGGACAGACATTATATAATAGTTATAGACATTTCATCTAAAACTCGATAAAAGGCGCTTATAATTTCACTAGCTCTCGTGTGTATTAACATTAATTGAAAATTTTGCAGTAATTTTAACATAAAATTGCGCGATATGAAAGATTTTAATGCCGAGACATCAACAAGTAACTTTTATCTGTTTTTGTATTTTTGTAAGCTTTTTTGTACATTTACTATAATAATAAAATAGTCAAAAACAACAAATGTAAGTTGCAAATTATGTTTTTCTTTACATACTTTATTAGACAATACAGTATTTTTAACCTTACAGAAACTTGTATTTAATGTTTTATATATATATATTACAACAGAATACGCTAAGTGGAAATGCAGATTAGTTAACAATTTAATATAATTTTCACCTAAACATAATTCATAGTTTTTAATGCATAATTGTTAAAACATTTTAAATAACAACTTATTTTTTCTACAAATTCTCTAATCCATTGGTTTGCTTTTCGAGTCAAATCCTGTGGAAACTTAAATACAGACACCGGATATATATTTTTCTACGCCGCCGGGTATACGGCGCATACCAGGCATCTACAAATAGTTATTCATTAGTACGGTAGTATTATTTTAACAAAAAATAAAAAGGATTAAAAAAATAGTTTACTACGCAAACATTCTAACTAAAACATTAAAAAAACTCGTGATAAGAGTAATCTATGGAGAATATTCTTTATTCAAAATTATTGGACGACTTTTACATTTAAACTTTATAATTTGTTAAAATTTCCCTTTCACAGGTATACAAAACTTAGTTAATTTTATTGTTTCGTCTAACTGTATTAAATGCGTGTGACAAATTCTGACTTATCTTAATTATAAATTTCGTCCTTTCTCGAAGTTTTTATGAATATCTGTAACAAAGTATAAATTTTCTGTTATTTATTATCTGCGCACGTAAATTTAAAACACTAATCGCGCTATTAAAATGATCTGTTGTGTACGATTTGGTTCGGATGTGCATAAAAATCAAGTATTAAGTTAAAGGTTAAAAAAAATCGGCTGTATTTTCACTTTATACTAAAAAAACAACTAAAAAAAATAATCTATTTTGTCACCATTCGTTCCCACCACCACAAAATATAATCTATACTTCGGTGGGTCGACGTCATTCGCCTGACCAATCGGCGCTTTGCGCCATCTGGATATTTAGTCGCACGTTTAAATACTGGCCTCCCTTTCGTAGTCGAGCCAATGTTGCCAGCTAAAATGCAAAAATTTAACAAAAATAATAATAAAGTAGCCGAGACGTAGCCAAATATTGTAGCGCTAGAGGACATTTGAATTTGCCGACCAGAACGCGGCGGGTTGATCGGGGGTCGGATAATATTACTAAACAAAATTCGCGACACCCCTATTATTATTATTGGTTTTTTACGGTTAGTAAAGATACGAAGGATGAGAAGTCTTTGAAAAAAATAAAAGTTTTTAAAAGTAAGTAAGTTTATTTCCAAACAACACAAAAACATTCGAAACAAAAGTTATTATTATAAAGGTATGTGGTGATAAAATGTGAAGTTAATGCGAAGTACGCGCCCGATGGTGTTTTATATTTCCTGGATATTAGGTGGTGTTTTTAAGAGACGTATCCTCGTCTAATTTTCCAGGGCCTTTAGTCTTTCTTCTTTGTTTTAATATTTACGAGTGTAGAGAATCCCGCTTGGCGGAGATACGACGCGGAAAACTGCAATAAAATATTAAACGCTTCGAATCCTATATTGGGATATTCCTTGGTAATTGTTATCCAAAATGAATTCGGACTCATTTCTAAATGCTTCGATCTTAACGTACGATCGTTTAGTTTAGTTGACACTGAACGCGATTCGCTAGCGAAAGCGAAAAAACAGAGCGAATAACACGCCAGACACGACGTTTCCGTCAAATGGTAAAATTCGTCGTTTCCGGCGAATTTTACCATTTCGCCAATCGCTTCGAAGTTCGGAACTGTCGAGCTTTTTCGCACCAATCCTATTCCCGCCAGTTGTCGCGTGGTTCTTGTTGTTTTCGAGATGGCTACAGAAACTTTCTCACGCAATGGATTACGTGTTGTAATTACGGATTTTAATATTTCTCTCACCCAGCATCGTTTTCTTTTCGACTTATTTTTCTTTCTCAATAAATAAACAAACTTTTTTGGAGATGACGTTTTCGCTGGCTTGCAAATGATTGGCTGTTTAAAATTGGCGATCGCTTTTCGTTTTTGGTTGCAGGGTCAATTTCGCTATGCGAATAAAAATCGCTTTTCGCTTTTCGCTTTCGCTATTCGCTCAGCGTGAACTAAGCTTTACGTATATGGATTAATTCTTCCGCTTCCGCCAGACTCGACTTATTTCCGACGTCGTCTCTATAAAAGGATTTTCAATCCAGTCGTACAAATCAACTTATACGTCGGGTAAATAATGGTTAATGTTTTCTTCTCACCACGTTAAATGACTGTAAATAAGTTTTTGCATGGTTACATTTTCCATCGGCAACTCGAATAAACATTTCTACATTATTCGCCTTTACTTTTATCTTCCACATTTTTATTTTTTCTTTAAAAGCTTTACGAAGAAGCGGGTTATTACGACGAGATGGAATCTCCTGGCGTGGTTTTGCAAATATACGCGATTTTAATGGTCTAGCTTTGATATAATTAACCATTTTAATGATTTCTTCTAACACTGTTTTGAGTTCGGAGCCTATTGTTTTCGCTACCAACCAGTTGTTTTCGTTTGGCTTTTTAGCCTACGAAACAAATCCTTTTATAGCTCCAATCGTCGAAGGGGCGCAAGATTTCCGAGATAGACCATTCGTATTAAAATACGTGTTGGCCATACCGAAAACATTTTTTCCCGCCGTACTTTTTTCGAATTCCTCGCGGCGTCAAAATTCTTTCCAAAATTTCATGGCCTTCGATAAATCGAGTGAAGGCGAGTAATGGCGCTTTACCACCCATATCGGTCGACTGGTCCAACCGCAAACTAAATAATTTCGAGTCGATTATTTTATTTATAACCGATTTTTCGATATCGCTAATACGTCTGCTCGTAGTGTCATTTGACGAAGGAATGGTTTTTATTTCTTCCGCTTCGGCACCAAAAATTGTTCTGGCAATGGCTGTACGGGCCGGGCCAATAGTAAGAGGCTTCGTTTCTCTGGCGATTATTTCCGCGGCCGGCGATTGTATATTTTTTTACAAAACTTTTATTTTGTTTTTCTTGTAATTTTATCGGATCTTCGAAATATTCCAGAGGTTTTTAGACCAGTGGTGGTATTTTGTGGAGAAGCGTGGCGATAATTTACTGGGAACGATAAAATCAAACCACGCGCGATACATTTTTTGGTCTGGGAATTAATTTATCGCCGCACCGGGTAAATCCCATTTTTAGGTAACCGTCTCGATATAAGCGAATTTTTACATTCTTTTTTACCAGAACTTGGCGCTTCTTTTGTTTCGATAGCGCTGGTTTGTCGCTCGACGTTAAAAATAGTCAAATCTTCACTAATACAGCTGTCAGTTTTTGATGGTTTACTAGCGCTAATTGATTCCTTAGCTTGGCTACCGGTGACCGCTTCTCCATCGTTACCATCTTCGCCTTTTCTTTTTTTAATGAGAAAATTATTCGTCCTATCGAACGACGTAATTAACTTCGATATTTTATTATAAAATTTAATTACCGGTTAATAATTTATTTTTTCTCGCCGTAAAGAAGAAAAAATATTTGTACGCCATTCTTTTTCGTTATTGTCTGAACGTATAAAGATAATAAAAACGACTACTTACCGCCTTCGACGCATTTATATGGCGCTTGTACTCGTTGCGGCAACGGAAGAACGGACAACGAGTGACTACTTCGTTTTCTTTCTAGTATTTACGTGTCGCCAATTACCGAGACGAGTGTCGACGTAACAAGATTAGTAGAATTTAATTATTTAAAAATTTCCGGGCACCCTTGTGGCGTACTCCGGGCACCCTAAGGTCACCCGCTTGGACAACCGATGCTCTACTGTATATATAGGCTATATACCCGCGTAGGTAAAGGAGCCCGACCTACGGTACGCACGGTACGTATACGTGGATACCACCGCCTTAATTAGGTGGAACCGGACGGCCGTTTCCGGTCCGACCTAGGAAATTTTGCCGGCAAAGTTTTGGAAAGAAAAACGTAGAATCGGGTCCTAGACCGTAGGGTTGCCGGCAAAAAACGCCGAGCGTTGGTAAACTTCAGTCTCGCGCGGGCGCGCCTGGGGTCGGAAGGGTGGACGTAACACCGAAGAAGTAAGGCGGACAAATAACGCCTCTCGGACCCTATCGCGGCGCCCGGGACCGGAAATCCGATGGGTTCCGGGAGGGGCCGAGAAGTCCGCGGCACTCCAAAAGACGAAAAGGGCATTTACCGTATTCCGGGAGAGGAGGTTTTTACCCGCCCTTCCGGACTCGCCCCATCCCGAGAAATTTAAAGGTTAAGAGTAAAGTGGAAAGGCCGACATTTCCTATAATTTTCTATTTGTTTTTGCGGCAGGAGGGAGCGGTTTGGGATTTGGACGCCTGTCGGACTTGTTCCTGCGACCGTTCTCGACCAGTCTGTCGACGCACCCGCTGCCGAGATCCTCTCTGCGACTTCTCTCAGGTGAGTTCTTTTCTTTTCCGCTTCTCGCCGTCTACCCAACCCGCGCCCGACGTCCCGTTAAAAGAATAAAAGCGGCGTTGGCAGAATCCGAGGCGGTTTATTTTCTAACGTCGGGTGATTTGTTATTAAAACAATTTCTAATCTCTTCCGATTCGGTTGCAATTTGCTTCCGTTCTCGGCTTCTTTTCGAAAATCTTCGTACGCCGTACCGTTAGACTGTCGTCGGGCTTGGCTTTTCCTAGCGTTGCGCGGACGGGCCTTATCGTCTCTTTACGTTTTCGTTCGACCGGCAGAAACGCAAACTTCCTGCGTTACGGACTCGTCTCCAATCGCCTGCCCGATCTTTAGTGCCGACGGCTTTCTGGCCTAAATGTCGGATCGCTTTACCCATTCAATAATATGCAGTCTCGAACGAATTGCGCTTTGACAACGCCGACCGAAAGATATAGAGATCTGCAGGAACTATACGAAGCTGGAATTTTTGACCGAATGCGAAGCTCGTAACCTCTTCCCTACGTCGATTTGGACAGTACGTTTATCCCGCGAATGCGCGTGGCTTATCCCTAAACTTAGAACAATTTGTTTACGTAAAGCCATCCGCGATATAAGAAGAAGAAAGTTTGTCCCGCTGAAAGAGCTAATCCAGCAGGAAAATGAACTATATGACCGCGACCCTAAGCTCCTTAAAAGACGTTAACGCGCGAGTAGTAACATTGGCCAGGCGGGTGACAGAAAGATGTAAGAAGAGATACCACCTATTCCATATTTTCCTCCATTTGTGACTTTTTTCATTAAAATTAATTTATTTTTATAACAAAACTAGCTGCAAGGACCCGCTTCGCTGGGTTTTTAAAAAGTAACGATAGTGAAGATTAAGATAATTACATTATAGCCAATCTTACCCGTTTTCACAGAATGCAAAAATTAGGTCCCCCGTTTCCTTTGCTGTTTCGAAGCTTCCGGTTCGTTCTTTTTGTCCTTTTCTTTCGGTTTATCCATTTATCCTTGTATTCCGTAATACCCGACGCGCCGTCTTGGAAAACGAACCTTTAAACTAATGGACGAAACATTGTCGCCTAAACAACGACTACTGTATAACAAACTACAATTCTTTTAGTGTACATTACGCTTAACATCGATGTTCGAGTAGGTTAAAATGTTTGAAAACTTGCCCCGTAAACTGTTGAAAATCACAAAACACACTTTGTTCCGTAGCGAGTGGTACGACGACAGTAAGCGGTCGACTCTGGCTGCGCCGCATAGTGCGAGTCTTTCTCGAGTAGTAGCAGCGACAAACAGAGCCGAAACCTCGGTATTCCACATTTGCCGACTATTCCGTAATACCCTCCTCTCCTCTATATCTTATTGTACCGATTGTATTCAATAAATTTGTATTTCTTTAGTAGGAATGTAGTATTTTCAGTGTAAAGTAGTCAAAATATCAATTAAGTTACATTTATTAGGATACGGTACGTAATTTTTAGCAGGATTCGCGGTATTGGTAAAGCGCTTTCGTCCGTCTGTCCAATTTCGTTACCCGGTGTATATTGTATTCGATTAAATTTTATAATACGAATTATAATACACTTATTTTAGAAATATTTGATTGGCTTTTGTGGAGTGTCGTTTGTCTATTAAAACAAGTTTAGAATGACGAAATTGCGGGAAAATGATTTTGTCATTGGATAAATGAAATTAGGAAAAACTCGTATTTAAAACTTTAAACATTAAAACAACGCTCGGCAACTGTATTAATTAAACTACCGTATTTGACCAATGCCATACGTCGATAAATTTAAAAGTAATTTAGCCAATCCATTTCTATATTTCTATCATTACTTTGAAAGAAGTTCTTCAAATAAACAAAACCCATTTGGCGGTAATTGTTTGTGAAAATTCGTTTAATTACGAGTTTATAAATATCCATAAACTGAAAGAAAGTAAGTTTTGATCGTCTCATTTATTTCAAATTATATTAAAACTAGCAAATAAGCCCGGCGTTGCTCGTGCAAAAAGTAACCCGTTTTCACACAATGCAACAATTAGTCCCCCTGTTTCCAGACTAATTACACAACTTTTACACGGGTCTGAAAATATGTTCGATTTCTCCCGCGGGGGAATTACGAAAAACCCCTTCTTAGTGTACGTTATCGTGGCCTACCCTAACTGCCTACCAAATTTCAACTTTCAACCGCTAACCGCTTATTATTATTAGTCTATTATCGACCCATCTCGATTATATATGTATCAATAGACAGTTTAAGTGATTTTTTCTTTTAATACGGATTATTGTTACGGTGACCATATTTTTTGGAGGAAAATAAAGCACATATAGAAGAAAGAAAATAAAAAAAATACCTTATAAAATTCACAAGTTTATACACTATCCGGAACCTGTAACCGGTGTGTGATGCACGTATTCTGTATATCGCTGTTGACAAATTTTTTCGAGCAATCTCTTTGCTCTTCTTCAGGTTGACTGGAATTCCCTGGACAGAGTGTATTCTATTTGTTGGGATCGGGTGTCAATTCTGACGGAGTGGGTCTTTTCTGACACGCACGGTCTTGTGGTGGGGGAGGAAGTGGCGGGTTGGCATCCAACAGTGATTGCCAGGCAGAGTCAGCTCTTCCTTCTGGTTAACGCACATGGTTAGCTGGCCGGCGTTGTAGATAGCTGTGGCCTCTAGCCACCTGAGATGCTCTTGGTGGGGCATGTTGATGATAACAGTAGCTTTATCGAACTTCGACTTTGTATGGGGGTAACTTGTTCAATATATTATTAAAAATTTTTTTAAACTTTGCGTCAAATTTACAAAATAAAGGACAAAATGCCTATTTTATAAAATAAATAAAGTTAGAGGACAGAGCAGCGAAATAAAGGACTGTCCTCTTAAATAAAGGACGTATGGTCACTGTAATTATAGTAGCTCTTATTTTAACTTTTTGCGTTAACACCCGTTATTTCGTCTTACCGATTACTTCGCTAGAGGCGCTACGGTCGGTCTCTGCCAGCCGGACCCTGGCCACCTAACGGTGTTTCCTCCGGTGCCCGAGGAAAGCGGGGAAAGGGCCGGATGCCGTCTTAATTTAATTTTGTTTTTGCCACAGGGAGAGGTTCTCCGCATCTCCGCCGACCGATGCTGTCCGGAATGCCTGAAGCCCGGAAATTTCTGCCTCCATGGGGGAAAAGTAATTCCGGTGAGTAACTTCCGTCGGTTTATTTATTTTTACCGGCGTAGCCGCGGATTTAAAGGCGCGCCGGACGGAAACGGTGGCTTACTGCACAAATGGCATTTGCGGTAAAGTTGTTTGCTTTTTGTTTTTTTAACTCTTTCAGCCCCTTCGGCACTAAGAGGGCCTCTTTAACAGCGGCGCGCCGTGGTCGAAGAGATGGATGCGCCGCTTCCCTCGTATTTTCTAAGAAATAATTACATATTAATTTTAATTATACGAAAATAATGGCGCGCTATTTTATTATAACCGCATTACGTATCTTATTACAAATTTCTATACTACGCGTGAAAAAANCATTAAAGATGTAAATGCATTTAAATTATTTTTTAACCTATCCTGATATATTGAAAAATTCAATTTTTCATTAACAAGGACAATATCAGTTTTCCCATAGTTCGGTGGCGCGCCGTCATTAGAAGCGGTGGGTACGGCGCTTCCCTCGTATTTTCTAAAAAGTAATTACATATTAATTTTAATTATACGAAAATAATGGCGCGCTATTTTATTATAACCGCATTACGTATCTTATTACAAATTTCTATACTACGCGTGAAAAAAGATAAGATCGCTGTCATATACAGTATTCGAATATTACTGGCGGACGGAAACGCCGTATCGTCGGCATCCAAAAAGCCAGATTCGCGCACGCGCTTTACGGAGCATCTACCTCCCCGGTTTAGTTGGTGGCAGCCTACGACCTCGGGTGGATGCTACGCGGACCCAATTCTAACCGGGACCGGTTCCGGGCCGTTAGCCGCTCGCCCGATTACTTAATCCGACCGGTAAGAATTTAGCCGTATGTGTTTGATAGTTTTCTACATAGTCGATGGGAGTTTTAAAAAATCCATAAAAATATTTGATATTTTTATTCCGCTTTCCGATTTTATATTACTCGCGGATTTCGACGTTAAACCGGTGATATTACGATTTCGTACATCCCATCTTTAAGGGGATGTAGAAAAAAACGTGTACAATTCTTGTACGATGTTAAAAAATTAACCGTTACTTTGGTAGCGTCGTTTACGACTAAATTTAACGAACGAGAGAGATGCGCGGGGTACGGAAAAAGCTCTAGAATTTATTTTCCATTTAAATTTACGATTTATGTATCGGTTTGTCGTAAGAATTTGTCTTTCCACTTTTTCCCGAGACTACAAATATTCGAGTACGAAGTAACCGGTTTCGACTTATCTCTACTTAAGAAGTAGTTAAATAATTAAGCCATTAGGAAATTGGGACGTAAACAAAACCCTGATGAAAGAGCCGAAATTTTACTTAAAAGCCTAACCCAACCCATCTCTAGCCGAGTACGGCGGGGACTGATTTCTTCGAAATATTACGTGTAATAAAGATTGACATTTTCCCAGTTCGACGAGAATGACCGAAAAGTTGTAAATTTTGGAAATCGAAGAGGAATAGAATTTAACGTTAGTAAATAATATAAAATAAATATTGAAAATTATAAGATCTTTACCATCAAATTATACAATCAGAGGCCTTATCGGAAATTATGGGAAACAAAAAACTACAACTACGGCGCGTAAGAACACAATTGCATTCGACCAGTTTACATAAGATGAACAAACGAGAAAAGTAGTGGATGAGCTAGGAAAATACAAAAACACAAAGATAATTTACAAACCAGCATCCAACATATATAGATTATTAAGGAACGATAAGGACGAAATAAGAATGGAAGAGCGACCGGGAGTGTACACTATCCCGTATGAAAGCCAACAAATAGGAGTCGATAAAGAATATGTAGGAACCTCGCAGGGCGTATAAAAGAGCGCAAATACAGTGTGAATAAAGGACTCGATAGCGCGATATTGGCGAGCGTGGCGCGGGCGGACGGAGCGATAGTTAAATGGGATGAGGCGAAGATGTTAAGAACGGATGCACTGGCCGTCTATCGCGATGGAAATGGAGAAAGTAAAACGAGGAACCGCTGTTTAAATGAAAAGGATGCAGATACATTACCAACAGCGTGGAAATACGCGAGTTTCAATAATCCATAAAATAGGAACTGGAGGTTATAATTTAGACGCGTGTAAAAATTTATTTAATTTTTTTGATAATGTGTAACGCGTGTAGTGACATATTTTATTTTATTTATTTAATTTACAAAAAGTTGTTAAGTTATTTCAAAAATTCGAACGAATGGTTTCATTTTGGAACGATAAAGGAAAACCCCTAGGATGGCCTATCCAAATAGGCTGAAAACTTTTGAATAAAGAGAAAAAACTCGGCAAGTAAAATTCGGGTGTGTTCATATATTATAATTAATATTGCCGAGAAGGAGAGAGATAATAAGCGGTTTTGTTCGCGCGGCCGCTGTCGACCGAACGGTTTCTTAAAAAGCAATAGAATACGGGTAATTCTGGTTAATTCGAACTGTGATAGTTGGTAACTGTACTTTTGTCTCGGCCGGAGATGAAGTTTACGCGTCAAGGAATTTAGATCTGGGGCTCCCAAACTGCGTTCCGCAGTATCCTAGGGTTCCTCTAATAAAAATTTGGGGTTCCACAAGAAAATCCATTGAGATTAGTGATGTAGGAATGTGCCAATGCGGATTTGAGACTATACACGTGCTAAAGTTATTTATAGCTTTATAAACAGTGGGAACCGATTTATCGGTAACGAAACGAAACGAAATCGTAATATAATGTTTGACGGGGTAATGGAAACCAAAAAAACAGTAAAATATAAACTAAAGCTAGAAAACATCCAAAAAACTATAACCTTATATAAAAGCAAAATGTTCTGTCACTACTGCGCACAAATAACGTAAATTTCAAAACAACTTTTAAACGGTGTTAAAAACCTTGTTTTAATTTTCAATTCATTTGATTTCAATTTTAATTAATTGTGATTGGTCCTTACGTTACAATATGGAACGTAGGGACTATCGCACACTATCGGCAACAATTTTAATCTCTGGTTGCTATTTGTGCAGAAAGAATAATATAACGACTCGAAAGATTCCGAACACCAAGTCGTTCTCGCATCGGCAATAAAATAGATTGTTCCTTTTATACGCCCGTACACTCGCCAAATTGTAACAAATACGGCCGAAGAGAGACGGGAAACCTGTTCGAAATGCGTACCGTCGTCACAATATGCCCGAGTCTATTTCTGCGCGATTACTGCTTCGACAACTTCGATAGTGTGTGATAAGTCCTCCGTAGAGCCAGAGCTTAGTGCTCGTAGTTCCGTAATTAATTTTCATTTTATTTTTAATTATAGTTTTGGTGTAAAGTAGCTACCTAGTATGCTTTAATTCGTCGATATCTGCAGAGTTTCAACATTTTGTATTAAAGTGAAAGGGTTCCGTAAGACTCTATACTATAAGAGAACGACAGTCTTCCACCGCAGCCCTTCTCTACAAAGCAAATATATTTTTAATTGTGTTGGAATTGTTACCCGCCAACTTTTAGGCCGTTTTTTTGCGGAGGCGTAGCCTCTAAAGAAAAGTCGTCTCTGCGGTGGAAGACCGTCTTCCCGCTGATTGCGCGTGGCGAAAAGACACAGACTAAGAATCTCTTCACTTTTAGTCTCTGTTACGTATTTTTTAAAGTTCCCCCTTTTCTTTTACAAAAGAAATACTAGTCAATACGTCTTTGCTTTTATGGTAACACTTTTACTCGGGGTCACCTTACCCGCGGACTTCCCTTTTTAAGTCTTTATCTGGTAAAACACGGACGTGTTTCGAGATTGCCAGATGGGGCTGCGAGAAGCGGATCGAGATATTTGAAGAGCTCTACGCTAATACATTGGGCGACTTACTATTTTTGGGACACATTAAACATAAGTGGGGTATGTTTCGACCAATTCCGTTTTCCTTTATCTGGCAACTCGTCCGTTGTTTAGCTGCCGTTTATTTATATTGTTATTAGAGAGGTTGCGGCCGACGTTTTCAACGCGAAAACGTCGGCCGCAACCTCTCTATTATTAACGAAAATATCGTTGTGTATAAGTATCCGTATTCCGTTCGCTTAATAAATTCCGTCGGTTACGTGGTATTTGGGATATTGTACAGAAATATGTAAATAAATCTCGGATACTTGGTCCCTTCAATTTCGAATAACGATGGCTTCCCGTATTTCCGAACCGGCAATTTATCGACTTGTTGGCCACTTTTAACTTTCACCGGTGTAGAAATGAATACAGTTAACGATTACACGCGTTTGTTTACACTGGGGTTTCTCGAACCAGATCTCGGGAAATCCCGCAAATTTCACTTTTTTCTTATTTTGTGTTAAGGTCGAGGAAATTTTGCAAACAGAAAGCGTAATTAACACATAAACTGCCAGAATACCTTTGTATTTATTCATTTTAAACCTACTTATTAGTTTTTTTTAACTTTTCCTGGTTACGGCGCGTCTTCAATGGTCAATAATCGGTACGTAGCTTATTTATGGCGGGACTGAGAAGATTCTTTACCGGTCGCAACCCGTAATATCTGGAATAATCGCGCTTACGCCTTCTTAATTTTTAACCGTGTCCGGTTGTTTCGCAAATCGGGCGCGGATACAAACGAGTACGAAGTCGGCGAGTATGACGTTTTTCTTCATAAACCCGATTATTAATTAAAGTCAAACGAATTGCCGAATTATCGGGCTATAAGCTCGATGCCGCTATTAAAGCGGCCGAGGTAGACCAATCGAGAACACTAGAGACTAAGAAAACACTAGAAAACACTAGAAAAGAAGTATTACAATCTCGAAATCTTCCGGGCTACGGGCGGAAAAAACGTATGACATTCGTCTTCTGTTAAATGCATTAAAGGCGATCCCACTAACATCGATCGAATCGGAAAGGGCATTCTCGGTAGCGGGACTTTTCATTACTAAAATAAGAATCGGATCGAGTGATCGGAGTATCGACCGTCTTTGCTTTTTAAAATCTTATAAAAATTTACAATAATATTTTGTATTACGTTTTATTTAAAGAACGAAAATGACCTTTTAAGTCAGAAGTTTGATCTGAGTTTATTTCTTTTAAATTTTCAACTCGATTCGAAGCATTTTGTCGTTGTTGTTGTATGCAGTTTCCAGCAAGCTTTATTAATTTTTTCTATTCGTGAAAATTTCTACGTAATTCGAAAGTAATTTTTAATATGTATCTTACACGGCGTTAATATGATTTCGGAGATGGCGGAACGCATTAAATTACTTTAAAAATGAAAAATAATTATATCATTTTATTGTGTATCTTAAAAATAATTAATTCTGTCCCTGGAATCCCGGGACAAGCGAAAGACGGGAAATGAGAAACCCTAATTTATACTAATTCTTGTAAATATTCTATACCCTTCGAGGCTACGACTAATGTCGCCGTTTTTTCGGTACAAAATAGAAATTTTTTCTTTGTGTCGGATGCGACGATATTACCGAAATGCATTTTATATTCATTAGTTGGAAAGCGCGACACCATTGACGGAATCTTTTTCTATACGTAAATAGGATTGGAGCCAGTGGAAGAAGTCCAAGTGCGAAAATTGTCGATGCCGGGACGGTACCGTCGTTTGCGAAAACGTCCGTTGTCCAGTCGCTAAATGCTTACCGGGCCAGATACTTTCTCGCAGACCGGACGATTGCTGTCGAAAATGTCTACCGCTCCAAAGTAAGTATAATCCATCGACTTCTCAATTGCTGTAGTCATTACTCGAAATACTCATTTATTTTTAACGCTTTACGTACATTATTACACCGCTCCTGTCAATAATTATAAAATCAAAATAACAGTTTTTTGCGGTTAATGCGCTGTTGAAGTTTACCTTGGAAGATCCGCTTCCGTCTGCCTCGGATATAAGTTACGACTTCCGGTGAATATCGAAACGACGTAGCCTATGTATTAATTATGTTAAATGCGTGTTTTGAATCGCGCAAAACACGCGTTTAACGCCGGTATTAAATTTCCCGAAATTAAATTAAATTCTGTATTTATTGCAATTGGGGCATCTCTCTCGGAAGTAGTCATTCGACTTATGTTTGTTAGTTAAGACAACGCAACGCTCGGGCCTTTCGACTAGGGCAGGGATCGGCAGTTTGTCAAGTGAGAAGAGCCAAATTATCATGGAAACAGTATAACAATATTTGAGTAGCCCAAGACGTAGCCAAAGATTGCAGCGCCACAGCACTAGCAAAAATTTAAATTTGCCAACAGGAATTCTTTCGGATAAACGACGCTCTACTGTATATGACAATGTTAATGTCTTAAAATAATGTATATTTTCAAGCAATATTCTATTATATAAATTGGTAACTATTTTATATAATATAAATTTTATGTTATTATTTATAGATAGATGTATTTATGATGATATATTGTATGAAAATGGAGAAATCTGGTCAACAACAAACTGTTCCAAATGCCAGTGCCAAGAAGGGGTTGTAATTTGTTTTATAGCCGAATGTCCGGCAACCGTGTGTAAAGAGGTAATTATTTTAATTATGTTAAAAATACTCTACCTTATTTTATGCCGCATAAGATGCAAGTTTTGTCCAAAAATGTACTTAAAAAATTGCCGTGTATTTTAAAGTTGTCGCCCGTAGGCTGATGAATTTCCTATATGACTTTTGGTAGACTACAGACAATCTTTATCTGCTCAAAAATTAGACTAGGTAGAGTAATTAAAGTGGTTTTGTTTAATTAAACGTATTATTTATTATTATGGTGTTGTCGAAGTGTTTGCTGCGCAGGGTTTTTACCAGTGCCTAGTGCTATACCCGATCAAAGTCAAAGCGTAACTACAGAAAACTGTATTATTATTTCCTACATCTAAGCAGCTTTTGCATGTACAGTATTTATATCGAGTATTTTAAAGGTAAATTTTAATTGTAAATGACTTATTTTAACTCGTTTTTTCTCCCGATAAATAAAAGTTGCATTCTAAATTTACTTTTTAAAACCAGAATACACTACAAAAAATTTTGGATATGAATGCAAAAAGTGCAGAATGGCTTTAATTTACTAAATACTTGCTCTCAAATATTCTGTGCTGAAATCGAACTGCATCTTATATGCCATAAAATATGGTATTTATTAAGTATTAGCATTAAATTTGCAATGTAATCTAATAATAGTGATTAGTAGGAAAAACTTTTTCAATGATATTAGATTTTAATAAATAAGCAAAACATAAAATGTGAAAGTACTTTCGTTGATATAAGAGTTTACCATCTTCGAGCAAATAGAACAAAAAATTTGGCTGTCGTATAGACTACTACCGTTGGAATTTCGGGACTTTGAGTATATATCTGAACTGAGGGAACCGAGACGAGTTCAACGGCACCCTACTTTTGGAACGGAGACGAAAAATAAAATTATCATACTTACGATTTCTTGCCTTACACGATACATTCTACGCCATTTTAGAGTTTTCCATGGTAATATACTGTACGTACGTATTTAATCCAACCGCGCGTGGACTTGCAACCTCGAATATAGATTGAGCCGAAATAAAAGGTTTTCTATTAGCCTAGCTGTTTTTTTACTCTTTCCGCCCCGTGAGCACTAAGAGGGCCTCTTAAAGCGGGCCCATTATGGGTTCGGCCGGGCCCGCAATGGGGCGACCGGGTGGTGACGGACGGGGCCCGACATATCCGAACGGACCACCCCCCGAAAAATTCCTGGGGATTCTTTGACCCGACCGGATTCGATCCCGGGTCCTCCAGAGCGGTAGGCTGCCACCTCGACCGCTCGGCCATCCGGCCGTCTATTAGCCTAGCTAGCGACGGTCATCTCCCGGAGGGATAGGTTAGGTTTTTTGGACAAGCCGCGTATTACTAGCAGACCGGGAGCGATAGCGAGCGTGTCTGCGGAAGACAGGCCTTAGGCCCCGACCCGTGGATCAACATCTGCCTCTGTTGAAGGTGAGTGTACAATCTGTTTTCTTGGCCTTTTACGTGGGCAGTTTTCTTTAGTCTTTGCCGACGTGTCTTTAGAATATATGGCCGGACTGTCTGTTAATTAAACACGCGCTAGGCTTAGCGGAGAGAGCGACACGACTCCCGATTGCGATCGCCAGAAATGACGTAGGCTATTCTCGTGAAGGGTCGCGCGTAGGGGTAAGGGTCCTTTGACTTTTTTCTCCCAAAGTTTGAAAGTTATATTTACGATTTCTCGACTTTCAGTATGTTTTGAATAGTCTGCACATTTTCACCGCTAGGCGGCGGTACTAGCTACTACGGTGTCGTCTGCTTAATTTTCTATTTTCTACCCAGCAATTTTGAAAAGAAACTTCCTTAAGCTAGTATTAGAAGTAGTCAAATATAAGGAAACATGTATCGAGTGGTTACAAGATCAGGGTTTCTCTCCTTCGTAAAGCAAAAAAGTGTAATAGATGCGAAGAGTGGATGAAATTACAAGTGTTGACCGAAGAGAAAGATAAAAGCGCGGACAGGAACAACAAATCACTACTGGTACTTTGTTTGAGCGAGTCCGAATCTCACCACAGAAAGCAATCATTCTAATGTACTGCTGGGCGCACCCGATGAAACGAGATAAAGGAATCCTCGAAGATGAAAATACCTCACCGAACACCGTGGTAGATTCACCACCAATGCATTTGACGCAGAGTATGATTCGGAAGCAAAAATTGACGGACCGGTCACATAGTGGAAGTCGGTGAAATGAAATGAATAACCGTTGTTGGCACGATCGACCGTGAAGGAGGCTATCGATTAGAGATATGCCCCGAAAACTGCCGAGACAAGCCGACATTGGTTGCTCTCGTACAGAAGCGTATGGAACCCGGAACTACAATCATCACGGATGTTTGGAAAGGATATAGTCAATCCCGAAGATGGTGCCAATACACAAACTGTAGAATATAACTGGCGACCACTGCGAAGACGACTCGTCCGTGGTGGAATAACGGTCGATAATGAAATACTTTTTTAATAGGGACAATATGTATAAAGAATAATGGCGTAGAATGCATTGTGAAAGACTTTGTTATTTTTCGTCTCTGGTCCCCTCGGTTCAGATATACACTCAAAGTCCCGAAATGCCACCGGGAGTAATCTATACAACACCCAAATTTTAAAATATAACGTATTAATATTAATATTGATGCATATTATGATACAATATACGTAAATGATAACACAGATTATAAATATTATTTACAACGAAAATATGAAATATTTATTTTTTTTCCTCTAATTATCAATTAGAGTTCAGACTATGTACAAAAAATTAATTAAATAATTTATTGTACATAGTCTGAACTCTAATTGATAATTAGAAGAAAAATATCCTGAGTTCATCATGAAATTGAAATATTCATGTCAAAAGTGAATAAGATTTCAAATATTTAAATGCAAAATATTTGGATAAATTTAAAAATTAAAATAGGAAATATTAGGAAAGGTAGCCAGTAAGAAGATAAGACACTCGATGCTCAAATGCTGTTACACATTTGATTGTTCGAAATGTATAGGATCTCCCGTAACAAATTAGCAGAGTTTCGACCCAAGGATGTCCGAGACTGACTTAGCAAGTTTGATGGTTTGCTCGCCCTATAATTTGTCTGTTTGACGTTCTTTGAGACGAGATAACATTTATATGGTCACCCCCGCATACTGTACTAAAATGCCCGAGATGCTGCGTTTGAGGAAAATTTTGTACTGTACAATTGATAGCGGCACAAAAATATGACATAATTATATCTTACTGTACGCTTCGCTATCAATCCCACGAAACTGTCATGGCTTCAAAAATAGCGCTGTAATCACTGCTACTGGCACTCTGTTATTTATTCTATCTCGTTGGTTATTAGTAATTGAACATTCTGTAATATGCGTAAGTAACATTAAGCCTAAAAACATTACTGTTTGCATTAATTATAAATTCATTACTCACCTGACATACGCAACCATCGTATTGTCTGGATATTATTTTGGAAAGGATACTTAGAAATAACCAGAACTATGACAGTTATATAGAACTAAGGCTTAATGTTCCTTTCTGAACCACTCGTTATAATGTATTTAACGGCATTTTCCACTTCGTAATTGTGTTTCTGTTCCTTAAAACCACTAAATGAATTATGCCTGAGATATTATTAGACATAAAAATATCGTACTGTACCTCGCGGAAATGTGACAATATTTCTTCTTTTTTGATATTCGCTTAAACACAACTACATTTAAGTATTTTTAAAACTATATCCTTGCTATAATCCCTTTAATGCTTCTCTCTCGCGTATTTGCCTAAACTTTCTTTATATTTATATTTTAAGTGGCATATAGCGCATTCCATTTTAACCAAGACTGAACAAAGACAAGACCCACATGTAACCACGACCCGAAACTGACAAATCCAATTCCCGCGACTTATTTTTGTAACTGCGGGCCCTTGTTTCTGCTCGTCTGCTGCGGCGGTGGTGCTTAGCGGGATCTTTACTTTGATTAACTCCGTTCTTCCATTTCCAATCTGGGTTAATGTGTATCTAGGTGGTCCAAGATGGCGGCGCTTCGGTTAGGTTAGGTTAGATTAACTATATTTTTAGTAGACGTTACCTTTTTTTATATTTTGTTCAAGAACTACCGTTAATCAATAACTAGTAACGTTTGGCACAAGGCGGCCTGCCGGTGGCTTTCCTCCGGCAGGAGTCCGCCGGGCCCACGAACAGTCGGAAGCGCTGCCATTGGGGTTACCTAGGTACACATTAACCAAAATATCTGGCCGCGAGGAATTGTTTGGAATAACGGCTGTACTATTGATTACCATCTATGGAATTTCGGGACTTTGAGTACATGTTTGAACTCGGGGGACAGAGACGAGTTCCACGGTACCCTACTTTTGGACCGGAGACGAAAAATAAGAACGTTATCATACAATTTCTTGCCTTTGGCAATGCATTCTACGCCATTTTAGTTTTCCGCTAGGTGGCGTTCGACTGTTCGTGCTCCCGATGGATCTCCCGCGAGGCTGCCGCCGAGTGTTTAGCGTTACTAGTTATTAGCGAGGTCGAGGCCGAAGTTTTAAAGGCGAAAGCGTGTACGTCGGACGTTCGACGCCGCTTTCCCGTTAGCCTAGGAGTTTGACAATGGTGTTTGGAATGTCGAGCTCGATACAAACACCATTGTCAAACTTCTAGGCTGAACGTCCGACGTACACGTTTTCGCGTTTAAAACTTCGGCCTCGACCTCGCCATTGATTCACGGTAATTCTTGAAGAAAATAAAAAAAAAGGAAGTGAAGTTCGACTGTTCGTGCAATTTCTCCCCTTTCACATGCCTTTCTTTTTAATGGTTTACAGACTTTACCGCAAGATGGCAGTACTAGCAAGTACGGTGTCGTCTGCATGTTAGCATTATTTTTCGTCTCGGTGCCAAAGTGCCGAGATTCCGTAAGTGGTAATCTATAAAATCCGCAGAATAACTAGGGAAAGCACTGAAAACAAAAATGTGAAGTTTAATCTTTTTATTCTTAAACTCTGGTCCTCTTGTTCAATAGTGAAGTTGATGGAGGAAAGGAACTCTCCCGGGCTAAAAGTAATTTATTTACCCGAGGTACTGTACAAGGTGGAATAAGGGCTGGAATGGAAGTAAGGAAGGTGTCGCGCTTTACTCTTTTACATTATTAACTTTACTAAAACGACAGATAAGGTGAGTCCATTGGGATCCTTTCATTTTACAGGTGATAGTTACTGAAAAATACAAATTGTTTCTGATATTTAAATTCCAGATTTATGCGTAGAACTTTTTGCACGTCGAAATCCTTTTCAATTAGTAGATAGAAGCTTGGTAGCATTGAAAGTAGGAACTAAAGGGTATAATGAGATTATGTTGTTTTTTATGTAGCTTATACGTACCAATACGCACAAATGGCAATGTCGGGCTTGGAATCTTAGCCTCCGACCACAAAGTGACTACGTAAGGCAAGGTGGAGAGGAGTGAGGAAAAAGGGTTGCTAGAACTTTCTCTAAAAAATATGCGGGACGTGTTATTTTTTTAATCGATAATTTAAATGGCCGGTAGTCCTTGCGGGTTTTTGTGGATTTTTGCCTTGAAAAATAATCTTGACGGGCGATCTTAACAGAGATTGAAACTTGTCTCCGGTGGAGATGTCGGCCCCGGAAAATTTCCGTCTCCGCCGGGCTAGAAGCTTGCTACGGGCCGGAAGGGAGATGACTCGAAGATCGCTTCGTAAAGCCGGAATGTATATTTAAACGCTTATACTTGTGCACGGTTATACGACCGGTACGCGTTTCCTGCCAAAGATTGGTTATCCGACGAATGTTTTTGACTCGATTTATAAATCTGCCTCGGGTCGCCGCCGAACTTTCGATCTTTTTGAAAAAAGGATCGAAAGTTTGACGGTGAGCCGAAAACGTTTCGGATGACCAATTTTTGGATGAAAAGTGTGGATGCATAATTAGTGTTGGGAGATTACCCTTCTAGCCTTGCTAAGTATGGTAGAGGAAGGATCTGTGGCAAGGTAGATGGAACGTGATTGTGACAAGAAATTTTGTATTCTTTACTTCACAACTGGGTGCATAGGTAAACACTGGGCATCTTTAACACCACCTCTGATTTTCTTATCCAAGGTTATATTCTTTCTTTGCTTCTGTTGTTCTCTTCTTTTTAAGGTATATCTTTAAACATCTTTAAACAAATACATACATTAGTTAACACCTCTTTACAAAATATCTTAAAGAAAAAGGTACGGTTTAATCTACTATTATATAATATTTTGTAATATGGAAAATACGTTTTCGTATATTATGATGTAGCCGACGGAGAGAAGGCGTATGCTTGAAATGCGTATTGGTGTGTAAGATTCCCGAATAAAGAGCGGTGTCAAAAATGCCCGGTGCCTACCTATGCACCCAGTTGTGAAGTAAAGAACAATTAGAAGACACGGTTCCAGAATAACTCAAAGAAATTTTATGCTCTAGCAAGAAAATCTAGTTTACAAATTACATGTTGTTTGACTTCATTAGATATCAATGTTGTAAGTTGCATGCTTGCAAGAAAACTGCATTGGATAGCTGCTTATGGGATGTCTCTTGTTCTTGTAATCTTGTTCTTGGAAAGAAGAATAAAATTTGGTGGTAGATGGTACAGTACATGTGACATTCTCCTGGTGTCTCTTGCACCTAATAACGTGGGTGGGATTTCTTCTTTGATATTACAGCTCCATTTTGGAATAAATTTTGGACAGTGTTGTAAGACAAGCTGTATGTTTACTGGTAAATTGAAGTCAGTACACACAGGTTATTAAGTTCCCTAACCTGTAGTGTATTGTGCTTCTTGGGTTTATTTTGTTACATGAATTGGGCTCTGTACAATGAATTGTACAATAAACTGGGGTTATACAAAATAAACCCAACAGGCATAATACACTTTAGGTTGTAGAACTTGATAACCTGTATGTACTGACTTCAATTCACATGTTTTATATTTAATTTGTTAACTTAACTGTACAACTTATTCATTAAAATCTGTTTTAATGTTATAGACAGTTTTTCCTATTAATCATTACTCTTACTGACATATAATGCCATAATCTTAAACTTGTAATTTAATATTACTGTATATTGTAAATTTAATCATAATATAATAATAAAAATAATTTTATATAATAGTAACATTGAAAAACTAAATGTTAAAATGATCAAATCTGTTTCATCTATAAATTTTATAAATTGTTTTCTTTTTCAATTAGGAACAAAGTTTAGAATTTTTACCGAGCGAGTGTTGTCCCACTTGTGTAAATAAGCATTGCGACGATGGAATAAGTATTCGTAAAGTAATAATTTATTTTTGATGTTAATATATTCATGTTTATGTAACTATCATGTTTTTACTTTGATATAAAATTTCTTCAAATGAGATTTATTTATTTACATCTATGTAGTAATGCTATTGATATGTCAATCGTGGAATTACTATTCCCCAAAAAACAATTTATATGCCCTATAAAAGCAGAAAAAACAAATGTCAAAAATGTAATAAATACATTATGCTTAAAATGTTGGTAAAACATAATACATGAAAATCGTTAAAAACTAGAGAATATAAGTGTAAAAATTTACAAAATGTATAAAATTTATGAAAAATTAAAACAAAAAAATAAGACATGGTATATATAAAAGAATTTAAAAGTAAACTATAAAGTATTTTTCGCATTTAGATTTGAAATACTTCCATTTATTCCATTTAAATAATCCATAAATTTAACTTTTATCGTTACTAGTTTTCTATTATGTTGACTCTTATCATTTTGACTGTAGTTTTATGATGGGATAAGCATTTTTCTAATTGAATTCTTATTTATGTTTTGAAGCTGTCATAAGCTTCATACAGTAGAAGAAAATTTTAAATAAAAACTTAAAGTTTACTAGAATAATTAAAATTTAATAGAAAAAATTCCTGAAATTTTTTAGTCTTTATGAAATTAAAATTTAATAAGAGTAATATATAAAAATTATTACAAAAATTGCCTTTAGCCCTTGGTATAATTAAATGAAATAAAATATCTACACGCATGAGACAGATATTTTATTCAAATTTAAATATAAAAATTATTTAAACCAAAACAGTGGTGCACTCGAGATTTAATCTTGGGGAGCAAAGTTGAAGATTAAAAATTTTTAATATGAATTCAATAAAATTCCTATTTTATATGAGTGATAATTCATAAGTGGTGTAGAAATAGAAGACATGACACAATATAAATAGAAAAAATTAATTTTTAATTAGAAAAATATTTTTGGAAGGTGCCAGGTCCCTTGGCCCCACTTTGGGTGCTCCACTGAACCAAAATGGTTAAGTAAGGAATAGTACTGTCTTTTGCTGTTAAAATTTACGTCAAGGTGCAGTCAAAAAGATCTGGGACTGGTGACGTGGCACTTTTTGGCCACGTTGTATGAACTAGGATGCGTAATAAACATCGTTACTTAGCTTTTCATCAATTTTTGTGCCCTTATTGGGCTGCAATTTGAAAAAATTGTAGATTTATAAATTCCCACTCTTGTCCATTCATCTATCTGTTTGTCTTTTCTTAATCTTGAGAAGGGAGTTAGATGAAAGACAAGACTAGATATTTACAAGACTAGATGAAAGACAAGACCTTAGAGGCAGGAAACCCCAATAAACTATATAGAAACTTCTGATTAAAATTGGAAGTCATGTTATTTCAATTCAAACATTTTTCCCCAAAGTGATTAATAGATGACCAGCAAACAGTATTGTTAAAGGAAAAGTATTATGTACAGGGGCAAGCCACTACTAATTTGAGATGGAGACCATATATTTTAAATTAAATAAATGAAAAATATGATTAAAAATTGCAGCCTGGCATTGTGGTGATGTCCTGATAAATAATTGCTTGTCATATATAGGTTTTGTTTTGTGCTATCTTGAGTAGATCTGTGTTCTTGTCAATTTGTGATTTTCATTTCTTTGTAAAATGAGTTCTTTTAAGGAACAGCGTGTGTGTGTGTGTGTGTGTGAAATTTTGTTTCAAACTTGGCAAGGCTGCTACAGAAAAGAGTGATGAGATGAAACATGGATTTATGGTTGACCTGAGACAAAACAACAATTGACTCAGTGAAATAATTGTGGCTCACCCAGACCAAAGAAAGCATGGCAAGTAAGATGCAAACTCAAGAGCATACTCATTGTGTTTTTTTCAATAGGGAGGGAATTATTCTTCAAGAATCTGTTCCACAAGGTATTTTACTAATATGCTAAACAACTGTCTGATTAAATTGGGCTACTTCACTGCTATTATTTTTAATTAAATTCTAAATAATTTGGTACTATAGATAGATTAGGTGCTATCTTTTATTAAATTTAATAATTATAATTAAATTAATATTGAATAAATAATTTCAAATATTTCCTCAATACTGGTGCTTCAATTCTTTAATGTCTTGGTAGAATTTTTCTCCATTTCCTTACTGATATTACTAAGATTATCTGATGATAAATCACACCACTGATACCAATAATCATCAAAAAGAACAAAATTTTACTGTAACTAACATTTTCTTCCATATAAAACAGACATCATTAGATTTAACTGATAGAACATATAATGGAACATGAAAAAAAATTAAAATTGAAAACTTCTTAACAGAACTTTTTGAAAATACAGATTGAGCATGCATTCAGTTGCACATGTCAGATAAGAAATATTAATAAAAGCACCAGTGAACACTGCCAGAATCAACAGGCTGACAGAAGTTTTTGCATTTCTCAACATTTTAAGGTATTCCAAGTCCAAAGTATGCAATCAGTCAAAAAATGACTGATTGTATATTTTTCCTCTGTTATATATATAAACCAGCTAAGAAAAATAAAAATGTGATATGATGGAGAAATTTGGTTATTGAATCTGAATTATATGCTTAAGATTCTATCTAAAAAACTTATTTAATTTATAGTGGCAATTCATTGCGTATTTGTGAATAACATATGCTATCCTATAGAATAATAATCTAACATTGACTTATTTAACTAATTTTACTTTTTATATTTTGACAGGATGGTGAAATATGGAACCAAGATCCTTGCACTGCTTGTGTTTGCCAAGTAGGTCACATTGTTTGTCATATCCAAGAATGTCCTCCAAGTCCTCCTTGCAAAAATGTAAGACAAAAAGAGTAATTTAAATTAATAATTTAAATAAATTTTTTTACTGATATAAATTTACTTTACTCATTTATGCATAATTATGAGCATATGATTTAAATAATAATGCTTTTGTTTGAGTAATTATCTAAATATTTTGAAATGTTAATTCTTATTTAGTAATTATTGTGATGTTAAAAACTTTGTTTCGGCAAAAAAGTTGCATAAACAAACTTTATGGTAAGGTAGCCTTTCCTTTAGGAATTATAAATCACATAGTCTGCAAATTGAGAATGCAAGTTTGTTGACCTATTTGGATCACTGGTGTATTTGAAAGTGTCTATGTCTATCTTGTTGCTCTGTTGTTTGAGTCAATTTGATTTGACTTATCTATTCTTTGTTCTCCAATAAAGTCTTTGTCATGGTGTGTCTTTGGCTTTCTGTGACTGATTATTTATGATGTGCTTTGAATTTTGTCTTATTGTGGCCGTCAGCCATGATATTGGATAGTTGTATGTTTTATTTGGATTAATCTTAGCCTTCTTTCCTGTTTCTTTGTTCTAAATTCCTTCTAGAACTTTCTTGTCTAACCCTTTTTGCCCTTGGGTAGGATTATCGTTTCCAAGAAAATAAGTAGAACAAAAGAGAGAGTGAGGCCTGGGGCCTTACGGACAGAGAACGAGTTAGTCTGGATGAGAATTCCGAAGAGTTAGGCAGAAAAAGGCAGTGCTCCGGAACTTGAGAAAGACGATTGAAGACTGCGAGTCGCCAAGAGATCATTGAGAAAAGACGACAAAGTCAAAAATAGACGAAAGGTCTACGACAAGAAAAGGGTCACGAATAAGAGGGAGATCTGAAGTTGTGTCCTACCCAAGAGTGCGTCGCTATGAAAACCCTGGGTATTTCTATTCCTTTCCTTATCCTTCCTTATTTCTTCTACTTTTCTATTTTCCTTAGTTTTAAGATAGTTATAAGTTAGTGTAAGTTGATACAACCCGCGTCTGACTGTCGCGCGTTTATGAATTATCTATTTGGAGGACAAGTACTTAATGCCTATGTATATAAAATTCATAAAGTTGTAAAGTTGGGATCCGATATAAAAAAACCTGTTCAGAGAAAATTAAAATACTTTGTGCTGTAAATATTACTAAGTGTTTTTTTTTTTTTTTTTGTATCATTTCGCTTGCGGAATTAAGTACCTCTCGTTACGAACATCACATTATTATACTTCTATCCTCTATTATGTAGGAGTGAAGAAATGAAGCTTTCTTGATGATTTTTGTTATCCATTTGCAACCTGTGTGACCATTTATGATCCACATTTATCCAAAATACTGATGGTTGTTTTAAATTTGATCTATATAATTAATTGTTGGACTGTGAATAGGATAAGTTAATAATTAAATACAAAATAATTTGTTTAGAGGTTGGCAGTTAAGTCACCATTATAATTTTAATAATTATAATTAAATTAATATTGAATAAATAATTTCAAATATTTCCTCAATACTGGTGCTTCAATTCTTTAATGTCTTGGTAGAATTTTTCTCCATTTCCTTACTGATATTACTAAGATTATCTGATGATAAATCACACCACTGATACCAATAATCATCAAAAAGAACAAAATTTTACTGTAACTAACATTTTCTTCCATATAAAACAGACATCATTAGATTTAACTGATAGAACATATAATGGAACATGAAAAAAAATTAAAATTGAAAACTTCTTAACAGAACTTTTTGAAAATACAGATTGAGCATGCATTCAGTTGCACATGTCAGATAAGAAATATTAATAAAAGCACCAGTGAACACTGCCAGAATCAACAGGCTGACAGAAGTTTTTGCATTTCTCAACATTTTAAGGTATTCCAAGTCCAAAGTATGCAATCAGTCAAAAAATGACTGATTGTATACTTTTCCTCTGTTATATATATAAACCAGCTAAGAAAAATAAAAATGTGATATGATGGAGAAATTTGGTTATTGAATCTGAATTATATGCTTAAGATTCTATCTAAAAAACTTATTTAATTTATAGTGGCAATTCATTGCGTATTTGTGAATAACATATGCTATCCTATAGAATAATAATCTAACATTGACTTATTTAACTAATTTTACTTTTTATATTTTGACAGGATGGTGAAATATGGAACCAAGATCCTTGCACTGCTTGTGTTTGCCAAGTAGGTCACATTGTTTGTCATATCCAAGAATGTCCTCCAAGTCCTCCTTGCAAAAATGTAAGACAAAAAGAGTAATTTAAATTAATAATTTAAATAAATTTTTTTACTGATATAAATTTACTTTACTCATTTATGCATAATTATGAGCATATGATTTAAATAATAATGCTTTTGTTTGAGTAATTATCTAAATATTTTGAAATGTTAATTCTTATTTAGTAATTATTGTGATGTTAAAAACTTTGTTTCGGCAAAAAAGTTGCATAAACAAACTTTATGGTAAGGTAGCCTTTCCTTTAGGAATTATAAATCACATAGTCTGCAAATTGAGAATGCAAGTTTGTTGACCTATTTGGATCACTGGTGTATTTGAAAGTGTCTATGTCTATCTTGTTGCTCTGTTGTTTGAGTCAATTTGATTTGACTTATCTATTCTTTGTTCTCCAATAAAGTCTTTGTCACGGTGTGTCTTTGGCTTTCTGTGACTGATTATTTATGATGTGCTTTGAATTTTGTCTTATTGTGGCCGTCAGCCATGATATTGGATAGTTGTATGTTTTATTTGGATTAATCTTAGCCTTCTTTCCTGTTTCTTTGTTCTAAATTCCTTCTAGAACTTTCTTGTCTAACCCTTTTTGCCCTTGGGTAGGATTATCGTTTCCAAGAAAATAAGTAGAACAAAAGAGAGAGTGAGGCCTGGGGCCTTACGGACAGAGAACGAGTTAGTCTGGATGAGAATTCCGAAGAGTTAGGCAGAAAAAGGCAGTGCTCCGGAACTTGAGAAAGACGATTGAAGACTGCGAGTCGCCAAGAGATCATTGAGAAAAGACGACAAAGTCAAAAATAGACGAAAGGTCTACGACAAGAAAAGGGTCACGAATAAGAGGGAGATCTGAAGTTGTGTCCTACCCAAGAGCGCGTCGCTATGAAAACCCTGGGTATTTCTATTCCTTTCCTTATCCTTCCTTATTTCTTCTACTTTTCTATTTTCCTTAGTTTTAAGATAGTTATAAGTTAGTGTAAGTTGATACAACCCGCGTCTGACTGTCGCGCGTTTATGAATTATCTATTTGGAGGACAAGTACTTAATGCCTATGTATATAAAATTCATAAAGTTGTAAAGTTGGGATCCGATATAAAAAACCTGTTCAGAGAAAATTAAAATACTTTGTGCTGTAAATATTACTAAGTGTTTTTTTTTTTTTTTTTGTATCATTTCGCTTGCGGAATTAAGTACCTCTCGTTACGAACATCACATTATTATACTTCTATCCTCTATTATGTAGGAGTGAAGAAATGAAGCTTTCTTGATGATTTTTGTTATCCATTTGCAACCTGTGTGACCATTTATGATCCACATTTATCCAAAATACTGATGGTTGTTTTAAATTTGATCTATATAATTAATTGTTGGACTGTGAATAGGATAAGTTAATAATTAAATACAAAATAATTTGTTTAGAGGTTGGCAGTTAAGTCACCATTATAATTTTAATAATTATAATAAATTAATTATTCATTTAGAATTTTTGGAAAAAAAAAATTGGCCTGGAGTGTGGCTTAAACCTGACAATTACACTACTCAGATCTCTATCCAATATTCACATCCAGAACTATTAATTTAGGTATCACTGTACATGCCACTCAATGGCACTGACTGAGGACAACTTTAAGCATTCAAGGCCCTTAATTTTTAATTACAGATGGCATGTTTTAATTTTGGTCCTAAATTAAAAATTAATTTATTATAATTATTAAAAGTGTCATGAGATAGAGGTTTAACTGCCTACTACTAGACAAATTACTTTATATCTAATTATGAATTATGAAAACATTTTTCTGAGTGTAAATTACATTAAAACTCTATGCTATTGATATTTTAAGGTTTTTTATGGTGTTTTGTTTGTTTATGTATTCATTTTTGAGAATAGTGGAATTATCAATCGACTAGTTCATTTGCTTATACATGAATGGAATTGAAATGACTGATGTATGGGGCCGTACATAAATTATGTAAGGTATTTTAGGGTGGGTGGGGGTCAAGGATTTCTTACGATTTCTTATACGGGGGTAGGGGGTAATAGATCTTGTCTTACGTAATATTCTTATTTTTATTTTTTTATCTCGTTGAACGGTGAAGTTTTGAATTTGGCTTTAATTTGGCCGTTTCTATTAAGAAGCTCGTTGTCTGATGTGATAAAGTAATAACGCTAGCAGAATCATGCTCTACACGATTTTTTCATGGGAGAAAGGCTGTGTGGTGGTTTCTCTCTCTCTCTCTCTCTCTTTTTTTATTAGATTAAGTGCACCACTCCTATGGGTGTATAACACTAAGAATATATAAATTAAAATACATGATACAAAGTAAACATAAAATTAGTATTTGGCTTTTAGTAAAAACCAAAATGTAAAACTAGAAATTATAACTTATAAATAGTCTTTTCTTCCATGTTTTTGAACATAATTGTAAAAAGCACGAAACAGTGGTTTCTGAACAAGCTTATCGAGTGGACGTGGCTACTTGAAACCAAGCGTAAAGATTTCTAATTTCGGAATAAGTGTATGTTGATCGTAAATTGGACAATGATACATCGTATGGTCCACGGTGTCTAGGTTTTCTGTAGAGCAAAAGCAAGAGGCAGTTTCTGTCCAGTTATACATTGCCAGGTAGCTTCTAAAATTATCATACTCAGTACATAGTTGAGCAGTAGCAAATGTTAAATCTCTAAGTGGTGATGAGAACCTGCATTCAACGCTAGGAAAATAAAGTATTGTTATTCTACCAGTTTTACTACTTGACCATTGTTGATTCCACTTTTGCATAGTGTTGTCATGAATGTAACTTTTAAGGCTGCTACAGCGTGAGAGAGGGATGTGAGTGTAGAAATGAGAAAGGCTAAAAGTCGGCTTTTTCATTTTTTAGTATGCCAGTATGGCCAGGAAAATATATAAAAGTTATCTTATTTACAAGATTTTTAATATGGTGCTGGATATATGCGATTTTATTGCTATTGCAATTGGGATTTAATAGAGCTTTCATGACAGACTGAAAATCACTGTAAATGTTGATAGACAGAATTTTATTTGGTAGTGAAGTTGCCCCCTGAACAGCTTGGTAGTCGGCATTCTCTTCAGCTTGAGAGATGTAGATATGTGGGAAGTGTCTGTACCTTCTAACACATTTTGGGCAAAATATGCCGGTTTGGAAGAAGATTCAGATACTTTAGCCGACAAGAAGAGAGCTTTTGGACCCATCTGTGTAGATATTAATGTCTGCGTGGTTATCTATGGAGGGAGCGGATGACACCAAATGTAACCTGGGAATAACCTTGTTTACGGGTTGATGATCACAGATGATAGGGTAATTGCAATTGGTAGCGTATGAAGAGCCGTAGATAGGAGTAGACTGTTTTTGAGCCTTGATGTTTGTAGTTCTGATGTAGTAGTTTAGAACCTTTTTTACAGTACATAGTGGCAAAGGAAGGAGCTCTGCTAGTATCAGAAGCATTAGTAGAAACAGTTCTGCAGCACTTTGAAATTCTGATGGCAAACTGTCTTTGAAGAGAGAGTAATTTATTGCTACTGAATTTTTACTAGTTACATGACCCCAGCTAGAGGCCGCATAAAGTAGCATTGGTTGTATTGCCCCATTATAAAGAGTTTTATAAGCTTTATGATTTAGTCCCCAGGTGCACCTAGCACATTTTAGCAGCATGTAGTGTTTATTTTATTGACCTTATCCAAGATGTAATTAATATGGCAACGGAATATGGTTTTTTATTCTCTCTTGTTATAATTTTCTATGACATTTCTGTTGACACGTGCACTTGCTAGTCGATCTGGCAAAAGTTTTTTTTGCGTCTTTTGTGAAAATTAAAATTAATATAAAAACAAATATTATGACGTTGATTAATAATAATAATAATAATAATAATAACTCTCCCGTGGTCACCACCTGGTCGTGGTGGGAGAGCCCAGTAGTTTTACAGNTAAATAATAGTACATATTAATTAACTAATTAATAATTATATATTTTGGACCTAAGGTTTTTAGGGTTTCATAGAAAAATTTTTTTGGTTAAGAACTGTCTATAAAATTATGCCAAAATATTACGTAAGATAGGGAAGGGGAGAGGGATCAAAGAAAATATTACGGTTTATTACACGGGTGGGTGGGAGTCTAGAATGGCCGAAATCACCCTTACATAATTTCTGGATTGCCTCTATATGATTCTGATAAGGTTTATAATATTTATCAAACTTAACATAATATATGTTATTAATTTGTTGTCTCTCTTCAGTAAACATAAATATCCTTATAGTTTGTTTCCCTCTTTTGCACTCTACAATGTGTACATTGCTACATTGGACTCCATCCTGTTTTTTGTCCTTGTATAGTCTGAAAAGATGGTGAGAGGAGATCCATTCATAAGGTCAGAATTCTGATACCATGTTATGTCATTTTATTAAACTTAAAAGGTAGAAATTACAAAAAAATATGTGATTGTTGGGAACAGAGATAAAACAAAGTAGCTTCATACTGGACTCAGACAAAGGAACTTTGTACTACTAATCAATATAGTGGCATCCCCTTTTAAATTCCATTGCATTTGTAGAGTTGTGTGATACAATAATATGTATTTAACATTATCAATTGTTGTAGAGCTTTTAATTCTTTTGTAAAGACTTTTCAAGTGTTATAAACATTCAAATATCCATTGAAACTTAATTTGTGCATTTAACCTCCCTTGCCTTGTACATTTTTCTACATTTCTAGTCAGTTGTATTTTCAAAAGTTAGTGCAACTTTTGTTTCAGAAGACAATTTACAACAAAAGCAATACATTGCACTCTGTTTTCAAATACACCAACCAATAGTGGTGATAATTTTTACCATTTAAAGCATTTGATAGTAGTAAATTGGATTAAATTTTCTGTTTTGTAGTTGATTGGTTGGTAGCTTGAATTTTTTGCTTGGATTTTTAACAATCTTTTCCAATATTTTCTTAATCAGATTTTTCAAAAGGAATAATGTGTCTGTAGTAGATAAAAAGTTTTATGCTATTTCATTTTTGAATGTGTTTTTTTTTAAGATTATATTGTGGACTGAAAATGTTTGGGATAATATTAGAATGAAATAGGCTTCAATAAAGAAGTTTCATTCATATTTATAAATGCTTTTCTTGCTTTTTAGAAAAGAGTTGTTGTTTTTTGAAATATTCTTAAAATATATTTTTAGGAATTATTACGTTATATTTCACTCATTTTAATATTTCATTTTATTGAAAAAGATTTATTTGGAAATTCCTAAATAATATATTAAAAATTTCATTTCAGGGGCAGATTTTAAGACAAATAAATGATGACTGCTGTCCTTCTTGTGTTTCTTCAGAAGGTAAAAACATTTGTTTTATCAACATCCATTCTACTTAAAAAACCTATACTTATAATATATTTTTATTTTATTGCAAACTGTTTTTTAAATCAGTGATGAGCAACTTTTTCTGCCTGTGGCCACAAGTGATTTATGCTTCCAACAGGCCACAAACATTTTTTTCTTAATTAGTAGCAGGCTTCCCGCTAAAAATTTTTTTATTGGTTTTATATGGAAATTTAGAACCAGTAGAACCCATTGGTCCAGTAGACCATATTGACCCAATAGGATTTACTGGGTCTAAATTTCCATGCAAAACCAATTGGGACTAATTTGATCTAAACTTACACTTAAAATTTAGTTTTAATTGAGTATGAATTACGAACTTGAATTATCCGTCTAATTCATTATTATTTTTAATAATGAACACTTCATTGAAATAATAAATTGTTTTTTTCAAAGTTTATATTTTTAATATGTAATGACGTATCTAAGTTTAGAGATTTGTGTATATAGTGAATTAATCTATAAACGTATGAAGACAAGAAATTGTACATGTAATAAGACTATTTATTTATAATCAAAGTACAGTATTAAATTTATTTTTTCTGTTTAAAGCCTTTTCTCTTAATGTTTGCTATTTTTTCACTTTCTTTCGCATTAATTTTTCTTCTTTTGAAAGACATTCCTTGCTGTTCACATCATTTTCGTAAAAGACCTTTTAAGGGAAAAATAGAAATAATTAAAATAATAAATGACAAAAAATTAAATTAGGATAATATAATTAAAGAATCTTCTATTAAATTTTATTTCATGTTAGATTCAAAATCTGTGTTCTTACATTTATTATAATCTAAAAACAATCTCTAAAATAATAACTCCTTACATTCAGGATTGGTATTTTATCTTGAAACATTTTCAGAACTTCTAGCCCAGTATCAAGAAAGATGAAATAATTTTAAGGAAGTGCATTTGCAGCATTGAGTGTTTTGTTACAACTGCATATAAAACTTCTATCAAAATTAGAGGAAAAAATTAGATAAACTTTAAAAAATGCAATGAAAAACATATTGTAAAACTTTTTCTGAAGCAAAACAAACACTGCTTTCCACAGAGAAAACAAAATAACTCAATATTGATTAGATTATCAAAGCTAATTTGATAAGAGATCAAAACAGCTGTAAAATCATAAATATGTCAAAAATGCACATATATACATTATTAAATATTAATTTTTTAATAAAATAATCAACAATTTTATAAAATTTATAATAATACTTACTGTTAATATTTTGTTTGGAGACAGTGCGTTTTTAGTTGTATCTTTTGTTTGGTTGCATAATTTTCCATACACACTTTATTCAGAAAGTGTTTTGGTGCCCCACATTGCGACAGACAATGAATTTGTTTTTGAGTTCTGAATTATGTTCCATTTTTCTTTATCTATGAAAATTTCTTTATTAAAATATATGTATAAAAATATTTTACATTCAGCAAAGATCAAAATTTATAGTTTTTATGGTAAAATAAACAAACAACACACTACAAAGAAAAACACATTTAAAAGAAAAATTAGTAATAATTTATCTATTTAATCTTAAATAAATAAATGAATGTAATATTTCACATAAGTAAAAATTAACTTTATTTTCAATTTCTATTGGATAATTTTGATCAATAAATTTTTCATTGTCTATATTGTTATCCTATTGAAACATATTCTCTACTATCTATTGATATCTCCTCTCCCTCCTTCTTTTCCACCCCTTTCCCTTACCCTCTTTTCTGCCGGCTAAACACTTTGTGTACAACCAATGTCTTTCTTGTATGTATCCTATTGAAACAAAAGAAATTATCAGTTATAGAAAATAAAATATAAAAAATATATGCATTTTACATTTGTTACTTACTACAGTGGTACCTCAGGATACGAACACCCTAGCATACGAAATTTTCAGGATACGATATGAAATTCAAACATAATTTTGCTTCACGATATGAACAAAAACTCACCATATGACGTTACATTAGTTCACAGCGCCATTTTTTATTCACTTCTGTTCATCGGTCTCAGCCTGTTTGCTTCATCATGGAAGGATCTCACTCGATAAAGGAAGTCTCGAGGTATTATCAGAAAGTGACTGATTTTATTGAAAAGAAACATTCCGAAAAGGTTCACACTGGCCATATTGCCACTCAGAGTAATGACATTTGCCAAAGTCATTTTAGAAACATTTTAAAAAGTAGGCAAAGCCAAACCTCTTTGGATAGATATTTTACCAAGCGACCTCTATCCAGTGAAAGTGCTGGTGGAAGTGAAGGAAAGAAAGCAAAAAGCAGTGAATAAAAATTAAAAAAATATATATTTAATACATTCTACAAAAACTGCATACTTTTGTTTATTTCTCAACATAGTTGCTGTAAACATTGAGACATTTATCCCAGCGTGACATTAATTTGAACATCCCTTCATGGTACTGTTGCTTGTCAAGTTGCTTGAAGTAGTCCAGCACGGTGTCTTCCAATTCCTCCTGATCTGCAAAGCGTTTTTCCACCAAAAATTTCTTTAAAGGTTTAAATAAATGAAAATCAAAGGGGACTAAATCTGGACTATACTCTACACATCAAATCAAACCAAACTGTAATTGTCACAATGGAATTGGGAGTCCTGAAACATCCTCCATATAGTCCAAATTTAGCCCTCCATTGGATTTTCATTTATTCAGATTTAAAGAAATTTTTGATGGGGAAACGCTTTGCAGATCAGGAGAAATTGGAAGACATCATTCTGGAGTACTTCAAGCAACTTGACAAGCAACAGTACCATGAAGGGATGTTCAAACTAGTGTCACGCTGGGATAAATGTCTTAACGTTTAAAGCCATTATGTCAAGAAATAAACAAAAGTATGCAGTTTTTGTGGAATGTATTAAACATTTTCTTTAATTATAAATGTTAGTGTAATTTTGGCCTGTACCTTATTTTAATAACAGACTCCCCTATTATATTATAATATTAATATTTAATTATATAGGTAAATGTCTCTTCAATCCGAACAAAATTTCGGTAGACTTTCTCACAGCTTCAACAGGTTAAAAATCTCCTTTATTGTTTTTCACATATGCATTTCGGGCAAGTTTAATTTTCCTGCCCCTCTTCAGTGCTACAAAACAAATTCATATTGAATTTACACAAAACAACTTTATAGTAGAAAATGTTTACAAGACATAAAAAGACACTTTATAATACCTTAAGATTTCCCACATGTTCTTTCATCTTTTTTACAGTACTTGTACTATCAATTTACAATGTTTTCAAATTTATAATTTTCTCTTAAGGGTGTTTTACATCGAAATCCGTACCATTATGCTACACAACTAATTACAAATTATAATTATTAGTAACATTTTAAATCACTTATTTATAACAAATTTTTTACTTTAAAAAAANTAGGCAAAGCCAAACCTCTTTGGATAGATATTTTACCAAGCGACCTCTATCCAGTGAGTGCTGGTGGAAGTGAAGGAAAAAAAGCAAAAAGCAGTGAATAAAAATTTTAAAATATATATATAAAAAACAATACTAATTTTTTTATCTTTTCTAAGTTATTGTTACATTATGTTATGTAAGTTAAGTTTTAGTATCATTTCCCTTCTCCCTCTCTTCAGCCACCAGTTTACACCTCCACCGTCATCTATCCTCAAAGGTAAAGTGCAAATAAAAGTACATTTTTTTTATCAATTATTATTCTATTACGATTATTTATACATTTACAACTACAAAACGCATTTTTCAGTGTTTTCCTTAGTATAGTTATTTTTTTTTTAAATGTATTACTTAGCTTTAATTTGAGTGTGTTCTTCATGTTGGAATGAATTATTTGGTTTTACATGTAATCGTATGGGGAAAAATGATTCACCTTATGACATTTTCATGATACGATTACCTAAAGATTAACCCCTTCTGGGTTCTTCTTCAGGTAAATCAGCTGGATCGAACACGAATATGAAAAATTTGAACAAATCCGAATGCTGTTGAGTTTGAATTGTTCGGTTTGTTGTGTATTCTGTCACATGACATGTTTGGAAGTGCTCGAACTTAACAATCAATGTCCAAACGGAAGAGCAAATTATGTCAAAATACATAATATATGTGAGAGTGAGATAAATAATTAAGAATAATCTCACATGTTTCCCAGTAATTTTTTCTTTATTCTTTACCACGTAATAAATAGTATAATGCTTTCTCTCCATATGCAGTAAGTTCTGCCATGTCATGGAAAGGCCAATGTCGTCTCTTGTAATAATGCATTAGGATGTGTCGTACGCCTCAAAATACGCCTTACTGCATACGGAGGAATGGCATTATACTATTTATTACGTGGTAAAGAATAAAGAAAAAATTACTGGGGAACATGTGAGATCATTATTAATTATTTATCTCACTCTCACATATGTTATATATTTTGACATAATTTTCTCTTTCATTTGGACATTAATCGTTAAGTTTGAGCACTTCCAAACGTCATGTGACAGAATACACAAACAAACCGAACAATTCAAACTCAATGTTCGAATTTGTTCAAATTTTTCATATTTGTGTTCGATCTAGCTGATTTACCTGAAGAAGAATCCAGAAGGGGTTAAGAAAACATTTGTTTTGGAAGATTAATCTCTGTATGCACCAGTTATAGGTTCAAGTATTTCATATTTTGCTATATACAACCCAGTGTGCAGTTGCTGTGTTATAATTTGCTGCAATTTGAAAAATTGCAGACCTGTAAATTCCAACTGTCTTCCATCTTCCTTCCTTAATCTCAAGAATAGAGTTAGATAAATGAAAACCGAGACCAGACACAAAAAGCTTTTGGGCAGGAGGCCCTGATTAACTATATACAAACTTCCATTCTAGACTGAAAGTCACATGATTTCAATTCAAAAATTATTCCCTGAAAGGAGTTAGATAGATAATCAGCACAACTCTATTGCTAACAGGAAAAGTATGATGTATGGGGGCAAGACTACTAATTTGAGGTGGAAAACATAGATCAAAACTTGCAGCCTGGCAATGTGACAATGTCACAATAAATAATTGCTCATTAATTTTAATTTTATTTTTCGTTTTCATGTAAAGGTCAGTTTTAATTATTGTTTTATTACTTTTAAATTTAATTATTATTTTTAGTTTTAATTAAAAATAATAATTAAATTTAAAAGTAATAAAATAATAATTAAAACTGACCTTTACATGAAAACGAAAAATAAAATTAAAATTAATGAGCAATTATTTATTGTGACATTGTCACATTGCCAGGCTGCAAGTTTTGATCTATGTTTTCCACCTCAAATTAGTAGTCTTGCCCCCATACATCATACTTTTCCTGTTAGCAATAGAGTTGTGCTGATTATCTATCTAACTCCTTTCAGGGAATAATTTTTGAATTGAAATCATGTGACTTTCAGTCTAGAATGGAAGTTTGTATATAGTTAATCAGGGCCTCCTGCCCAAAAGCTTTTTGTGTCTGGTCTCGGTTTTCATTTATCTAACTCTATTCTTGAGATTAAGGAAGGAAGATGGAAGACAGTTGGAATTTACAGGTCTGCAATTTTTCAAATTGCAGCAAATTATAACACAGCAACTGCACACTGGGTTGTATATAGCAAAATATGAAATACTTGAACCTATAACTGGTGCATACAGAGATTAATCTTCCAAAACAAATGTTTTCTTAACCCCTTCTGGATTCTTCTTCAGGTAAATCAGCTAGATCGAACACAAATATGAAAAATTTGAACAAATTCGAACATTGAGTTTGAATTGTTCGGTTTGTTTGTGTATTCTGTCACATGACGTTTGGAAGTGCTCAAACTTAACGATTAATGTCCAAATGAAAGAGAAAATTATGTCAAAATATATAACATATGTGAGAGTGAGATAAATAATTAATAATGATCTCACATGTTCCCCAGTAATTTTTTCTTTATTCTTTACCACGAAATAAATAGTATAATGCCATTCCTCCGTATGCAGTAAGGCGTATTTTGAGGCGTACGACACATCCTAATGCATTATTACAAGAGACGACATTGGCCTTTCCATGACATGGCAGAACTTACTGCATATGGAGAGAAAGCATTATACTATTTATTACGTGGTAAAGAATAAAGAAAAAATTACTGGGAAACATGTGAGATTATTCTTAATTATTTATCTCACTCTCACATATATTATGTATTTTGACATAATTTGCTCTTCCGTTTGGACATTGATTGTTAAGTTCGAGCACTTCCAAACATGTCATGTGACAGAATACACAACAAACCGAACAATTCAAACTCAACAGCATTCGGATTTGTTCAAATTTTTCATATTCGTGTTCGATCCAGCTGATTTACCTGAAGAAGAACCCAGAAGGGGTTAATCTTTAGGTAATCGTATCATGAA